AAAGATCCATCCACCTCGAAAACAACAGTAGTCACGGGAACATAACTGCTCACAGGCCGCACTCTGGTCCAGCAGTGAGGCGTTTTCTCCAAATAACTGTTTGAACCCCATTTTAAGTGGCTATTAATATTACTATCAATATTTTTTGACATTCTCACTAGATCAAATAAATAGTATAGTTTGACTCTGGCTGTTGTCATCAGGGTAATTTTCTCAACAAAGAGCTCTGTACAAAACCCTGCTGTACACGACCTTCTCAGCACCCAACAGCGGGTTATCGACACAAGTTACAAGCTAAATTGTTAAAGAAAGAAAGAAAGAAAGAATTGTCTTCAAGCGGCAGGACAAGAGCTGCTTGTTATCGTTCAGAAACATTTCTCTTCATCAAGATCAACTTGTACATCCTCCACTTGATCTGAACAGGAAATATTGTGCTTCAAACTTGATTTCATTGATTTTACAGTTAATCTACAAATTGAGATTTAACATAACAAAGCTTAGAAAATATAAAGCATTTGTCTAAATCTGACTTGAATTCCACAGCTAAAAAAAATAACATTTGTGTTCAAGGTTAAATGCATCACAGTGCAGAAAAATGTTAGGATGTGGATACAGACAGCTAATCACACAAACTGCATGACACACGAGGAGAGTTAGCACTGGTTACTTTGTTATCTACTATCATGTTTGTTGACCAATAAAAACATAACGTGCACCTCTGGGTTGCAGCAGACTCCCATGAAGACATTTCATCAGCTTGTGAAACTAGCATGAGAATCCAGGAATAACTGACATCTCTTGGACATCTTTCAGAGTGGAAGTGACTTTTCTGTGACCGCACACATCACACAACCCCACCGGCAGGCATTTCGGTTTAAAAGCTCCTCTCTGCAGCCTGGAGTCCCCTCAGCTGTAACACAATACTCGAAAGGGAACCGCTTCAGGCATTTTCTTCAAATTCATGAATCTGATATTTAAGATTTTTTTTTAAACTAACAAGGACATATCTACAGGTCTTTCTTTCTTATTTTTTTACATGAAATAATGTTACAACTGATCACCATATGAAGCCAAAAATAAAAGCTGCAGCATCGTTGAAATAATTGACTTTTTTTTCTTTGCCGAAGCGAGGCAGTATTTGAAGTTGCCTGCTCTACTTTATGGATTACAAATATGGCAACTGAAGAAAGAATGAGCAATGTGATTAACAAGTGTGCAGAGAGAATAGTGAGCGAGGAAGTTGACGACGCCTTTTTCTGTGTATGCACAGTGAACCATTGGAGTTCTGTGACTGAATCGTCCCCGCTTCCTTTCGCTCATCACTGGAGTGCAGGTCCAGTTGGTAAGGGACGTCAGCAGCTACAGAGCTGCAGAGTACTGGCTGGGAAATCAAGGTGATGCTGCAGGTGACCTCCAACCCCCACAGGACTTGATGCTGAGCTCAGCCGTACCGATTGAGTGTTATTCTGAGCACAGCAGCCGCTGTCCTTCCACCCGCCGCCTCCCTCATCCTGAGGCGATGCGCAGGGAGACGAGAGGATGAAGGCTTCAGTAAAAAACAGACCGCTTTGGGTATTTCAGGGTAAAGGAGAAAGATATCAATACATTGCTGTAATGAGGCGTCCGCACTAATTTGCATGTTTTTCTTTCTCCATGAGTAAATGACACAGAAATAGACATGGAATCATTTCAGAGGAAAGGGCAGAACCGGGGTGGTCCTAAAGGCGTTTCATTGGAGTGAACGGCTTAACCCTGGAAACAGTTTTGTGGAGGGAGCAGCTAATCAGTGTCTTTGATATGCAAAGCAAATTTAGTTTTAGTAGCTTATTGTGGAATTTCTCTTTTATCCTCAAATTAAAGACTGTGCTAAAAATCCATATTTTTCATTTTTGAATGCTTATTATAGCCGTGCAGATGGAAGTTTATTTGGAATTGAAATGGTCACTTTAAAGCAAACCTCTGAGTGAGAGGTGCAGATGATCCCGAATGAAGCAGAATCATAGATAATCTCACTGGTCTCTTTTGTTATCATCATCCCATTTGCAAAAATATTCGCCACTGTCAGAGTGAAAAAGTGTGCGAGTTAAAACAGGAGTGGACCATCAGTTACTGTGGACAACAATTCATTTAAAACAAGGAAGCTGACACACTGTCGCCCCTTATTGTCGGCATAAAGGGTCGGGATGTTCATGGTTTAATTATTCCGTGATCTTGTCTTGCGGTTACATTAAACAGCTTCAGTGTTATTTCACAGCAGCTTTTATTTTGCCACCACCATACAAAGCAACAAGCAATGCAATTCAAGAGGCTCTGTTAAGTTTTGTGAAACCTTATACTTCTTTTCAAACACACAACTATTTCACTGTGCAACAGAGGGACGTGTTGTGCTTTTTATTCCTTTTGGATTCACAGCTGGCTGAATTCATTGATACCAGTTATGCAACAAGACATAAAGGAATTAAAACGTAATGAAGCATCAATAAATAAGAATACATTCAGCTACTAACACCTCAGAATTACTTTGAATGCAGGATCATTCATTTGTGGTGAACTGAAAACTGAAAAAAAATCAAGACTTCACACTACTGCAGGAGCAGTGAAAACTAGTCTGGAGTTACAACTAAATATAAGCCTATATTTGCGATCATGATTTACAAAGGCATTGGGGGAAAAACTTCCACAGCTGATGGGGGGGATGGGAGATAAGAAGTGCAGGAAATGGAGGAGTCGGCTGAAAGAGGCTGCGGCGGTATTAATTAAACAATGCCCATTTTAATCAGAGCTAATTATATTTGCAGGCGAGGGTTGAGAGGAGTGAGGGTGATTTTATCTGCCTCTGTGCTCATTAGTACGGTGAAGCTGTCTGATACAGCTTCTGTCATCAAATCATCAGCAATAAACATAATCTCTGTCGTAGGGAGGTGATACTGGTAACACTGGAATGGTGAACACCAGCACAGACACGGATACGGAGCTGGTTAGGGATCAACCTCCGACAAATGGGGAAAAAAAGTGCATCTAGAGCTGCTTTAGAGATAAAAATATATTCGGTGAAACAATGAAGAAGTGGAATATAATAATCCAGAATGAGATGTAGTTTATTTGACGAGAGGAGCAGCCTAACCAACTCCCCACTGGTTAAACTGTTAATTAATGTTGCACCCATTTATCATTTAAACGGCTGCTAATCAGTCTTTTCAATCTACTCTGCCTTGAACCACAATTTAAACTCTTAATTTTTCCCCCCTTCCTTTGTCTTGTCAATAAACTGGCCACCGTTACCTCCCGTCCGTTTCGCCCTCTTATCTCTTCTCATCAGTGACCGTTTCCCTGCTATAAACATTCAGGAGCTCAGATGTTGACCCTCGACTCCCGGCTGAGGTCAACGGCGAAGAAAAGGAGAGGGGTATCGAATAGAAAACATCACGGACGTGTCGCATTTCCAGACGGGCCAATTCAAGAGGAGAAAACTATACAGGGTGCTAAGAGGGAATGCGGATGAGGGTACGAGCGCCGGGGCCCTGGATGCACAGGAGGAGCAGTGGGTCTCTGACTCACTCGGGCTCGTTGACGGAGTGTGAGAACACACTCTTAGCTGCAGTCCCATCAACCTCCTGCCACAATCAGCCACGGCTGTAAAAGTGGATTATGCAATCCACCCAAACCTCCTCCCCTAAACTCGGAAAAGGGCCGTGGTGTGTGTTTCTCTCTCGCCACACAGACACACACGCACACTATCACACACAAAACAACAGGATTAGCATGCATGTTAAAAAGAAACAAGGGGAAACGTGGTGCATACAGCATCTGTGTTAATGAAACGTAAGGATCTTTATTAAGACAAGGAGGATGAAAGTAATCGGCGTTGATAAATTGAGTCAGTGTGTACAATCACGTTACGGCAAAATGCCTTTTATTTTTTCAATTGGATTGAAAATTACGTTGAGATTGGCTTTGAGCTAATTGATGTATTTGTGTGTATGGGATTCTTTTTAGAAGTATATCATACTGATAAGGATACAGCTTTGATAATTAGATATGACTAATATGAACATTTAAAATAGAAAACCCAGAACCTCCATAACTATCAATCGACACAACATGATTTGCTTGCAAAATGATATTAAGAGAATATTTAGGAGCATGAAATATTACTTCCATATGTGTCTCATGATGTAACACATCTAACCAGTAATGGACATTGAACAAAATGTTTTTGATCAAAATTAGAATAGATAGTGAAAGAAAGAACAGGGGTGAGTGAGAGAGAAATTGGAGAGACACAAGGGTGAAAAGCAACAGAGGTTTGTTTTTTCCTCCTCCGTCTGGTTTTCTATAAGAGGACTGAGAGGAGATAAGACTAAAAGGACTGTCACTCAGAGGAACAATCCCCCCAGTGTCCCCTCTTGCTCGTGCTGCGTCCCCCCCCCCCCTTGATTTCTACAGATTCCTGCTGAGATAGAGTCGCTGTTCACAGGGACAGTTTGCTGACATCATCTACTACATACTTAGTGTCCTGCACTGTCGCTGCCCCACCCAACCGCACTTCTGTGACATGCTGGACCCACATACACACATTCACAAAAACCCTCAGGCACATGGTCATTTCCACCCTTTCATTGTGGACTGGAAATTACCTTTTCTTCCTACTTCCTTGTGTTTCATTGTTTACTCATTGAAAAATGGTTTGACTTAAAAGGAAGTTATAGTGTGTGCATGATAAAATAACAATAACAATTTCTGAAAACTCAAATATGATTTTTTTTTACAGTAAGGATGACAGCATAGCAAACTAACCAGAGAGAAGTTTATAGTTCAGTATGCATTTATGCCGTATGTGGCTACAGTGGAGTGCACATGCTGCCTTAGGTACTGCACATGCACACTAACATAATGCTTCACATTGTGCATTCATAGAGAAGTGCACATTTTAAATTTTGTGTTGCACACAAATACTAGATCTAATGATGAACGACTACAGAGCAAATAACAGTCAGAAATAAACTTTCAGAACAGGTTTGCTTTATTATTCTTTCTGAAAAAGATCGGTTTTCAGTTCAACACAGGCAACCTCTGGAATAACAGCTAGTCTGTGTAAAATGAAGCTCTACAAAACACCATTTTACCAAGTAAAATGAGTTCAAATCAGTTTGAAATTATACCGCCAATGGAGCCTGAAACATGAGCTTCATCCCAGCAAGGGAGCAAGACGCACACATTGAATACAGAGATCTGTTTAAACTTCAGTGTTTCTGTAATGCCAGTAAATGTGTTTATGCCAATCAAGGCTCTGCTGAATTAGAAACATGCAAGTCAAAAGCGGGGATTCTGACTCACGACAAGAACAAAGATGCCAATTGGTTTTAAGATAACTCAAATGTATCAGAACAGAAGAGCAGCCTCAAACCTTGTGATGTAGAAAACTGGATTAAGTCCATTTCCACTAAAGGAAGATAAAAGAAAAGGGTTCTTTCCACTGCGTTCAGCATTCCATTGACTTTCTGCAGACTGTCGCCATCAGAGGCTGATAGAAGAACATGATCATACCTCTGATACAGAGGCAAGTATTGCCCTCACCTCCACATGACACGTGAGACTGTCCTCTGCCCGTCTGAAGCACCGGGACGTTAAGGCGAAGCGACTGACACAAGTCACAACTGAACCATCTTTTTATGGGGATCAAAGACGTACCGCTTGAAATGCAAATGAATGGCAACGGGCTGAGAATCTGTTTTGGGCTCCTCTTCATTTGTTGGTCCACTTTTGCTTCCACCCTTCCCTTTCTTCTTGGAGGTGGAGGATAACAACTGCTTGGTCTCAGGGAAAAGGCCCTCTGGAGAAAAGATAAACAAGCAGGTCAAGTAAAAAGGCCGATCTATAAAAATAAAAATAAATCATTATAGATTGCTTTATGTAATACATCGGTCTTGTACTGTGTGCAGCACCTGGGTCAACCTAATCATCTAAGTGTAGTTATATCTAGTGCTGGATAGAGAGCCTTTGTTCCTGGTTATGTGTGCAGTAGGTACTGGATCTGATGCCTCAGTCTTCCTGATGTAACCAATGAACCAATAGAAGAGAAGTAACCGGTCGCTCTGCCACGTTCTGCGTTTGTCACTTGGGCCTCGTGCTCTGGTGCACTGAGCCGTGAGCCTGTGCACGCATTTAAAAAATGAAGCTACGCTGCCATATCTAACCCCGCGTCTCTCTGCATGTGGCTGCTCATTCTACACAAGGAAGGTAAGAAGTGTTATAGGTTCACTGCTTTACATGCTGGCTGTCTGACCTCACGTACAACGGCGCCAGCATTCTTCTTGTTATGGTTATGCCAGTGTGAGGGTTGTTATGGTTACAGTGCAGATAGAAATCTTCTCGTTATCTATGATCAGCTAAATATTTCCGTTTATTACCACAGAACACACTCGCACGGCCAAACGTCAGTGATTTCGGTTCACATACAAGTGAGACATTAGAATTGCCCTTAAATACATTTGTATTTGTGTAATGAAGATATGTCTAAAATGTTTACCAACTACTGTGTAATAAAAAAAACTGAACCACTAAAGCCTGAGAATCAAGATCAGTGCACGTGAAGCATTTTTACGGATGACTAGTGGCGTACGCATACTCGACAGTAGATTCAGATCCAAAATAAAAAACACCAGATGTCAAATTTAGCTTTGGTGGAGAAATAAAATAGTGTCGGCAGTTAAGTTGGTTAGTGAAGTGAAGTTTATTAGGAGCAGTATAAAATCACGCTTAGACCACCGTGTTTCCTTTCCTTATGACAGATAAGAGAATAAAGGAATGAATTTATCAACACGAATTACAAAACACTCTAAATCAAGATTTCACATGTGATCATATTTACTGCTTTTCTTTGAGTTATACTAAAATTATTCTTTTGTTGACAAGCAGAACAACAAATGTGACCGTATTGCCTTAGGCTTTAAGGAAACCACACAGTTCTTATGTAATAATACGGATAATAGTGAGTAGATGAATAGGTGATGAAAACTAATTGTTATCTTATCAACAGAATGTTCTGTTTTAAAGTGTTAGATGAAAACCGCTGAACGTCTGTATTCCAGGAGAAGTGTGCGTTACGGTGTCTCAGACTTTTGAGAATGAAGAGGATGTAGGTGAGGTTCTCTTTCTAAATGTTTTTGTTTTCTCTTCCCTCCCGGTGTGGAGCAGTGGGCTCGGAGCAACAGAAGGTAAAATAAACAGGGAACAGACTTCCCCCGGAACACAGGCAATCCCCAGAGGAATCCTGGGAATGTGGCTCAGGATGTCGGGCCTACCACTATTACCGCATCCTGAAAACGGTCCGCAGAGCCCCGATCGGGAAAGTGCTCTGGATGTGTGTATTTGTTGAAGACGTGGCGATGCGACCTTCCTAAAAGCTACAGGGAGTTTTATGGGCGTGACGCAGCAGCGCTGGTTTTGGTCATGGTGAAACAGAGGTGAAGATGCAGTAACGTCTCACCTCAGGTGAACCTTACCTTGTATTCGGATCTTGAACTTCCCGCTCTGGCCAAACCCACCCTCCACAACGCCAGTCTCGCCTGTAGACAGTACGACCTTCAACCCCAAAAAGAGCTGGAGGTTGGTCTCCTTCTTGAACAGGTTGCGGCCAATCACAGAATAATCGTCAGTCACCTGAGCAGGAAAGAGCAGCGTTAAAATACAAAGAATTTTAATACAGTGTTATGTGATCATCTGTTTATGAGTGTGAAAATGTCGGGGTGTATTTTAGTAGCGGAATCTCATATTGAATTCCTCTGATGTCCACGTCTTGTGGCGTTTCAGGATTTTACTCACTCGTGACAGCAGAGGGAGGATAAGGAGCTGATAGTCTGCCGTGTCCCCTCCCCAACTGTATGACATGCCAGAAGCCACATTCTCCGAGGCCTGCCGCCTTGCTGTCTCACTCTATCCCTTTCATACTGCATATTTTATGTTGTATTTGTTTGTACTTCTTTCTTATCATCCATCACTAAGTCGATCTAACCCGGCACTAATCTGATAACATGAGGGCACCGCTCTGTCTCCAACTGACCTCCCCCACTACCCGTTCTCCCTCTCTTCTGCCTGACTCTCATTCATTCTTGAACATTTGACCCAGACGTCCCTCCAGCGTGACTGATGCGCTGATTAAAAAAAATACAGTTGCTTTACACGTCTGACAGACGTATGAATTGTGACTAGAGGAGGCCGTCACGTCTCGACAATGCCAGCAATGTGTTCTTCCACAAAAAGGACCATAACTGCCCCTCTCTGTGAGATAGATGAAGAACAAACGTAATGCCACATGACCAAAGTCTGACTTCTTCCTCACGCTGTTCCAATTCTGAGTCACTGACTGGAGCTGTCAACACCCTGAGGTGCTAACAGCAGGAAACTAGTTCACACGCTTGACCCCTGACCTGAGGCTGAACCTGACAAGGGCGCACACAGAAACACTCAACTGTACAGGGCAGAAGAAGAGAGTCACTACATGTTCAGATGGAATACAAACAGTGGAAGTTTGGAGGGTCCTGACTTCTTGAAAAATTCTCAAATCAGCTGAAATCAATAAGAAAAAAGAAACAGCATCAGATAAGCCGAGATATGGATCGGCTCGGCATGAACGGGAGCTCAGGATTCAGGACAGAGCGCAACAACAGTCTCACTGGACCAAAAAGCAATGTGCATGTGTGAGAGAGAAAGAAGCTGAGCAGGAAGAAAGTGGCGCTTAACTGACACAGCCATGTGGGTATTCCTGCGCCGCTCAGGTGTATCCAAACAGGGCCAACCTCTGACAGGCAGACAGAGCTGGTGGCGTCAGTGCGCCACCCACGCACACCTCTGCGTCACGCTGCCTGCTAAGGCATGCACACCCAGCCAGAGCCGGAGACACTGATCACCAGGGCTGAATGTGCGTGGTTGTTTGTGTGTGCATGTTTATGACTTTACAATAGGGGCTCTGTCTGCCAGGCACGGTCCACTGCCACCAGCAATGAGAAACATCCAAAGGGGAAACACAGCTAGAGGGAGCGCAAGGTGACAGAGAGGGCAGAGGAGGAAGGGTACCACTCACGGGTGAGCAGAGAAGATGCCAGTCAGAAAAGACGAAAAAAAGAGACTCATTTCAAATAGAAAGCGTGTCCCACTCACCCTTTCCACCTGACCCTCCTTGTGTTTGGTCTTGTAGATGCGCAGACGAGGCAGGGCCGTCTCAGCGTAGCCTTTATCTTCAAACCCCTGCAGCAAACGGCCCTGGAAAGCCAACCGGCAGGCATTGGCGTGGATATCTGTGTCCAGCTTGGAACCAATCACCAGGCAGAGTGAGGGGCATGTGACCGGCCTCTCAAACTCCAACAAGGCCCATTGTTGTGGCTCAGGACCCGGACTGGCCTCTCCCTGACCAGTGACATACTCATCCTGGTAGAAGTACTCCCTCTCGAAGGAGAAGGGGGAGTCCAGTGAGCAGGGCTGAGGGGGAGACGGCTTAGTGTCTGAGGGCGGCTGCGAGGCATCAGCAGGTGGCAGGCCAAAGAACATCACCCTCGCCATGACCGTCTCATGACCCACTGTGATGTGGAACTTGGCGCGGGTGGCAAGAGAGCCCTTGAAGTAGCCGATCTTCCTCACAGAGATGACTGCTGCATACAGGGTGCGCAGGGACCCTGGGGTGCACACCACACCCCGCTCTAACAGTTTAGGGTCAAACTGTGTCACACACACACCCACGCGGTCCCCCTGCATGGCGCCCGACACTGGCTTCCGAAACATCTGCACGGACTTTATCTTCTTTGTCACCTAACGTCAGAGAGCATAGAGATACAAGTGCAAAATATATTAATACTTCTTTAAGGGTATATTTACACACAACTGACAAGAGAAAGCATGAAGTACATCAATCCACAGCACGGTACATTATGGCTGATGAATACACTTTGTCTTAACTCATAATGCTGCAGCGACGGATGGGTTTGTTGTTAGTTTTTTACCATTTCAATCAATCGTTATTCAGCTTCCACCTAGTTTTTGCATTTAAGAGCTAAAAATTATACAATTTTCATTAAATATGCACTGTTGCTTCAGAACTTGCAGCTGAGAACGGAAACCAACAATCCTTGATTGCGGGATATGGCATACCACAATTTTTTTGTGCTTGTTTTTGTTGTCTATTTCACTACTACAGATCAGCAGTAGAGGCACAGATCAACACTCCATAACAAATAACTGTTAATTTAGCCATTTGCTGCCACCAAGAGGTGGACAAGAGAAATGTACAGAGAACTGCTGAGCCTGGCTGAAAGTGGGCATCTGGTCCAAATTACCCACGGACCCAGGGTCCCCTCATCCTTCCCTCACATTAAACTAAAACATCTTCTGCACCCATAGGGACATCCTTCCCTCCGTCTGCCCGCTTCCACTCAACTTCTGAACTTCCGAGTCTCTGCGGCTCCCACAAAATGATTTCCAGCGCTCTGATATGTTACCTGCCTGTAAATATCAGAGATTTTGAATTCATGTATTTTTAAGCATACCTTTAGCGCTGGGATTTCCACAGTGTCATTGATGGCCAGCGACCCCTGCAGGATGGTTCCAGTCATGACGGTTCCCTGACCGCGGATGGAGAAACAATGGTCCACAGCCATGAGGAGGTCACCTCCGGGGTCTCGCTGAGGGAGGTACGTCTGCTTCTTCAAAAGCTGACACGGAAAACCAAGATGGCAAGAATAAGGACACATATAATGTCGACTTATTTATGCACGTGATAAGATTATCCACTGTATTGTTTTTCCATCGAAAAGTATTGACTTAGTTTATTCCTCAATGAAAAATGTCCAAATGTCTGTACACTACATATCTGGATGTCAACATGTTTTAAACAAATGTAAGATATACTTATCTATACAGCAATAAACAGACAGCACGTCCTGTACTACTATATACTACCTACCTATGTTGACTGGATAAAGAAAGTATGTGTAGTAGTTTGTAGTAGCTGAAGATTTTCTTTCTTAATTTAACACAACTTGAATAGCAGCAGTCTGTCAGCTGACTGACCGCACTTGTTCATAAGTGAGAACTTATGTGCTCTTTTGGGCTAAATTAGTAACTATGGAGGGAAACCGGAGTGTTTCCGGACTTTACCTCTATTAACTCTGGCACTCCGTGAGGCTCCTCTGGGGCAGCAGCCTCCGGGCCCCCGGGCTTTGCTGCCACAGCAATCACTGGACATTCCTTAAATCTGGTCAACAGAAATAAACATGATATTTACATTATTATTATTATTATAATTATAATTAAATTATTAAAGTTAATTTGAATTTAAAAAAACTGTGGGTCAGACGGACAGACCAGTGGAATCCAGAGAGGGAAAAAGAATGTGTAATGAATGAGGAATTTTGGCAAGAGATCAAATCCTGGGCCACTGAGATTACATGGGATGCCCAAACCATATATATATATATATATATATATATATATATGGCATATATATATATATGGCATATATATATATATATATATATGGCATATATATATATATATATATATATATGGCATATATATATATATATGGCATATATATATATATATATATATATATGCCATAGATATATATATATATATATATATATATATATATATATATATATGCCAATGTGTTCTTATACTTGTATGGGATTCAGACCTGGTGCCCTCCAGAGTTTTGTGCAGTCTCTTGGTCATTTTCTCAATGGCACTCTGTCTTTTGTTGGCTGGCAGTAGGTCAATTTTATTGAGGACGACCACCATGCGAGGGCAGGTCAGCTCTCCTATCAGCAGGCACTCTGCAGTCTGAGTCTGCACCCCTTTCACCACATCCACCACCAGCATCATCAGGTCAATAATTTGGGCACCTAAAGAGGGCAGAAAATAATCAGTGGGATGTCAGATACTTTTGACACAGAAGAGAAACAAGCTGAATCAGAACACAACTAACTACTAACGGTTCGCTATTTAAGACATTCCAGCTTTGCCGTTGTGCACCTTTAGAAGAACTGTGAGTAGAGACTACTAAACCGACAACAGCACTCCACCAGGAATGGACACAGCTCCCCAAAAACAACAGTAGAACAAGAGAAGTTAGGGGAGGGGTGCGTGAAGGCAAAGAGAGAATAAAAGGCTGGAGGGTTGAGCTGCAGTTCACTTGGTTGTCTTTCCTTTCCCTCTTTTCGTTTCTTTCCCCAACGTTGGCAGTCTCTCTTTCCTGTGTTCCCCTCTTTTCTCTTCTTCTATTTGGCTCCTTCTCTTTCCGGTCCTTTTCCCACTTGGGACAGGAGGGGAGGTTTAATACATGCCCCGAACCCCAGTTTCCTTCCTCCCTAATCTACAGCATGTGACACCCCACTGGCTCGTACATTTCATTTAGTGCTTTGGTTACACGACACGGCAGCGTTCAGTGTTTGGGTGCCTCTCCTCTGCTGTCGTACCAAGATCTTTACCAAAAGGCTGCGGATGAAGTATAATAAATCAATTCAATTGGGGCTGCAGCTAGTATTGAGATTTATTGCCTCATTGCCGCAATTAAATTATTAATTGCTTGGTCTAATAAAAAAAATTTTTTTCCCCAACTCAAAAGGTATGATGTTTACTGTAATGGGGGAGTAACAAAACTAGAAAATATTCACATTCAAAAAGATTAAAATCAGACGAGGAAAGAACTTTTTCTTGAATAATTGATCAAAACAATTCATTGATTATACAATTGTTATTTAATAATTGTGTTCTACGGATTTATCTTTGCAGCTCTTGGTCAATATGTCATGAAGAGCCTTCAAGACCAACTTAAACTCCAATTGAGCATGATGAGCTTTTCTCTGCTTGTAGAGTAAAGGCTCCCTCTGCTGGGTAGGTCACATTCATGCAATGCAGTGAGGATGTGGTGTAAACACCACCCGGCTGTGACTGCATCCTTCTGACAGTAACATCTCTGGGTTATGTTCTTTTCTACCATGTTATTGACCGTGATAACAACACCATAGTACAAACTCCATATTGTACCAATGTGTTCGTGTTAATTGAGCCTAGAAATTTCAAATTTCTGTTTATGACCCCATTTTTGTGGGTTTGTGAGAAAACCGTTCTTTCTGTTAAAGTTTAAGTTTCCATAAAATGAAAATACTTGAGCTATATAGTTTTCTTATTAATGTATAAACAGCATGCACTGATCTGACCAGATTAAACGGCAGATGCTATATGGACTGTACTGCTTCTTTGGCAGCTAAACTATTGAATGAATATGCGGGCATTTTATATTCAGATAATGTCTGTAAAGAAGATTAAGAACTTGGACTTTGGTTTCAGTCAAGCAGTTTCTGAAACACCCGACTGGAACGAATACATTGCTGATTTTAGAAACGCCTGTGTATATTTATGGGTGTTTTTCATATTAAGCTGTGGATTTACATCACATTCAGTTAGCAGCATATGAATGAAACCTAACGCAGTCAAACGTAACAGGCCTGAAGTAAACCATAGCTTCATTGAGGTTACAATGTTTTGTTTGTTTGTTTTTAGTGAGAGGTTGTCATAATATGTAATTCACACTCATTGCGGACAAAACTCATACAAGTCAACACCAACCCAAATAGCACCTTAAAAAATTACGTTAAAACAAACACATTTCTAGAACAGTTCAACGAACATACTGACCTTCATAAAAGCTAGAATATATTTGAGGGTTTTTGAAGACATGACTGTATAAATTGGCTAACTTGCTTTAGCCTCAGCTGGTAAGAACCGTCCACTGCTGTATGAGCTCAACGTGTCCTGAACTACGCATCTTTGGTTAATTCACCACCACCTGTGCGCAGTTAAACCAGCTCACCCCCGATGATGGTGCGAATGAGGGAGGCGTGACCCGGACAATCCACCAGGGTGAACTGCAGGCTGTCGTGCTGCTGCCGGAGGCCGCCGTTGCCCCGCAGGTGATCGGGGAGGTCCACCGTGAAGGAGGAGAAGCCGAGGTCCAGCGTGATGCCCCTCTCCCGGGACTGCGGGTTCTTGTCGAAGGCCGCCGTGGAGGCGGTGCTGCTCAGCGCCCTGGCCAGCGACGTCTTCCCGCTGTCGACATGGCCGAGCACCCCGACGTTGAAATTTAACGTTTTGACTCGACTGTCTGCGGACTCTGACATTTTGACAGCGGCTCGGTGAGCTTTACGCTTTTTACGAGTTGGACGTTGAACTCGGCTACGAAAAAAAAATGCAAAAACGGCAGTATTTTGGCACAGGCTTGTCAATAACAACAGGTTCTTTCGATCGGTTTGTGGCATTCAACGCGCTGTACACGGGACTTAAAAGTTACTTCAGCAGTTGAGAGAAACGTCCTGCTCGCTGTCAGTGCACCCGATGCTGAGAACAACATGCCTAGGCGGAACGTTGTTCAATCCAAAACAAAAGTAAAAAAGAGGCGAACTGACCCACTTTAATAGCGGTTCGATTAAAACCTAACATCAACTATAAAATTACCAATGGGGAGATGAAAACCTCATTCATGTTTAGTGCTGTATTGATTTAGAATATTAGGTGCACTTTTGGTATTTTTTTTTTGCCATTTCTACTACGACAACGCAAATGTAGCACAAGCGGAAATGAAATGCTTTCCTGGGCGGCGGTTAAATGGGTAGAATGAGTGACGTGAAATTAAACCAATAGACAGGCTGCATTAGAATGCAAGGGCCAATGGTAACAGTGATCGTAACGGTACTTTGGGGTTTCACTTCCGCTGAGGTTCCCTAGTAACCCACATGGAAACCGATTTCCCTGTGTTTTGAGTTTCGGCGCCTATTCTGGCGGTGAGAAATTGTCGGAGGCACGGGAGAGAATATCTTCATTGTAAACCGCCCTTAGGACTTTTACTCCACATATATATCAAGTAACAGTAAATATGAAGATCGAAGAGGTGAAAAGCACCACGAAAACTCAGCGGATCGCCACGCACAGTCACGTTAAAGGACTCGGGCTAGACGAGGCCGGGAATGCTAAACAGTCGGCATGTGGTCTGGTCGGCCAGGAGGCTGCGAGAGAGGTAATGTTAATGTTTCTCTGCACCGTTATTCGTGTTGTGAGGAGTGACTTTGAGGTTGGAGGGAGGGTGAAAGGGGGGACTTCGCTCACATGCGCCAACAAGCTAGCGTTAGTTCCGTTAGCACTGTAGTGTCGCCGTTGTCGCTCTCAGGTTAAAGGTGAGCTAAAGGGGAGGTGCACCATAAATAGAACTCCGCTTCACTCATATTTCATTCCCTGAAATGTATTATGCTCGTTTCTTTATTCGAAAAGATTTAATCAGACTGATCTGAAATTATTCACGAATTCAGAAAACAACGGATCGTCTACATAGACTAACTATAATACCACCGATGATGATGCTTTTATTTAAAATACCTAACGTTAGTTATTGTTTTAGTCAAGCAGACGATCTCTATTCATATCAAATAAATCAAGGTGTAAGGATGGACAGTTATACAAATGCCCATCGTGATGTACAAATGTTTAGGCTAAAGAGACACCTGACTGCTTGTAGGTTATATTTGAACGAAAATCCATCTCACTTGTTTTGATATAAATTCTGAAAACATAGCACAGGACTGGTCTCAGCAGGTATCCCACAGCCTCCTTGTATTGCAGTCAACTCCTGATAATATTTTACCATTGCTTATCAATTAACGGGATAAAGGTATATCACTTTCTGTTTCTAGGCTTGTGGCATCATTGTGGAGCTGATCCGTTCAAAGAAGATGGCAGGAAGGGCAGTGTTACTGGCCGGGCCACCTGGAACCGGAAAGGTGTTTAATGAACAGCAATACCGCAGAAACGCTTCAATGAATGTGGCTTCCGTTGTTGTTGCAGAGTGTGACTCCATTCTACTTGTTCCTCCAGACTGCCCTCGCCTTGGCTGTTGCACAGGAGTTGGGAAACAAGGTGCCTTTCTGCCCCATGGTCGGCAGCGAGGTTTACTCATCTGAGATCAAAAAAACAGAAGTACTGATGGAGAATTTCAGGAGGGCCATTGGTGAGTTGTTACCCGCCAAACTAGTCCTTGTAACAGAGACTGTTGTTTTGGATGGGCTCCGATCTCTTCAGGTCTGAGTTTTGAGTTGTAAAACTATCGTGCCAGATGCAGGTGTAATGGCCGCAAACAGTTCGCAGGAGATAGTAAATGATGAACAGAGGAAAATGTCAACTTAAAAACAAACAATTCATTTAATCATCAGACTTCCTAGTGAGACGCTCAACTGAAAAACGTGGCACGTGTGTGGATTATCCTAACGAAGCATTATATGGTGTCCTACACAAAGCGCTGTCATGAGCTTGACAGCGGATTCATGAGAACAGTGTTGAGAAGGAACGAAGGCTGGAAAGGGGGAAGTGGTTTGTCGGACTGCTGACGTTCTCTGTCGCAGGGAAGGAAATTGAGCTTCATTACAGGGAGAGGTGGTCATCAGCACCTTTGCTCCTCCCCTAGAACAGGATCTCCGAGGGGGAGGGAGTTGCATTTTGAATTTGTCATCACTCTGGCGATAAGAGCGCCCTGACGGACGGTCTCTGCTTTAAGCCCTGCTGTTTGACCCTCAACACAACGAATCAGCCACCTGTGTGCTGCTCATGGTCCGTGCCACTGGCTGCATGAACAGGATAAAAAGCGTGTGATCATGTTACACAAGATTATGCCCATACCTGTCATGGGCAGCCACACACGTGTCCCCTATCTGTAATAAAATGCGTCGCTCAGGAGACAGGAATATAGAGGCCCAATTGAGTGCTCATTCTGCGCGTGTGTGTTTGTGTGTAATGTTGCCCACATTCAGGACTGCGTATCAAAGAAACAAAGGAAGTGTACGAAGGGGAGGTGACCGAGCTGACTCCCTGTGAGACGGAGAATCCCATGGGTGGCTACGGGAAAACCATCAGCCACGTCATTATCGGTCTGAAGACCGGCAAAGGCACAAAGCAGCTCAAGGTCAGACTCTTTTTGCTGCATGTTAAGCATCCTGAGAGATGTTGCCTGTTTAAGCAGTGTGATGTGAAAACTACATTTGTGGGAACTGTGTCACCGTGTTAGAAAGATACTACGTATTTGCTCAAATATTTTTTTATGAATCTTTTCGCACCAATATTGATGTGCATCTAACTATCTTTCGGATTGTGTGATTTTTGTTTTTTCTTTAACATAGATGTTAAAAGACCTTCTTTCTTCTTCTTCACTAACAGTAAACCTTACTTTTACCGACCAATTGTTAATTAATTCCAAATCTCTTGTTTCCTTAGCTGGATCCAAGTATTTATGAGAGTCTTCAGAAAGAGCGCGTGGAAGTTGGAGATGTCATCTACATTGAAGCAAACAGTGGAGCGGTCAAGGTATTGTTACTCCGCCAGTAAAATAAGATGTGAATGCTAGGCTTTCATTTGGAAAATTGTTTAGGTGAAACATTTCAAATAAAAATAAACCCCTTAACGAAAGGGCCGGCCAACAGAGGGAGGTAGTAGTAGTAGTAGTAGTAGTAGTAGTAGTCTGTCCGCCGGTGCTTACACCATGGACGCTTGTCGGTGCGGAACTGCCGTGTGTTTTCCCCCCCTGAAATAATGGTAGGGGAAACACTGATGCCCTCGTCAGCCCTTCATGGTGGCGTTCTTTCAGCTCTGCATCAAAGCTTTGCTGAATTTCTGCCGCACACTGGAATGAGCCTCTCTCATTCCTGCACCTCTTCATGCTCCATCTGTTGCTCCATCCCCCACAATGCCTCCTTTCTAGTAGCAGGGCTTGTGGCTTCTGTTGACAGACCACGATGACGGTTCCTTTAATCGGTGCAGGTGGGCCAGGGGCGCGGGTCTGCTCAAATCAGAAGCCATGGGGGGAGGGCCGGACAACACATTTGGTACTGTTGACAGCGGTTTCATGACCTGCCTTGTGAAACTCTTTCATCCCTCAGCTGCCCCTCCAGGAAGGCATGGCACTGGATTCAATTATACACCTGCTCTCCCTCCGCCCCCTACGTCTTTGGTTTCACTGTTATCCAGAGCAGTGTTTTGAAATGATTTTTTGTTAAACAGTGAGTTGTTATTAAAATTCTTGAACTGTGTCTTTGCAGAGACAAGGTCGTTGTGACACTTTTGCTACGGAGTTTGACCTGGAGGCGGAGGAGTACGTGCCGCTGCCCAAAGGTGACGTCCACAAAAAGAAGGAGATAGTCCAAGATGTCACACTGCATGACCTGGATGTTTCGAATGCCAGACCCCAGGTAACTGCCAATGTGTTCATATCAGTGCAGCTCTTTCTTCTCAAACTAAATAACAAGTTTACATAATTATCTCTGCTGTTTCAAATAATTTCTCACCGTTTGATCTCAGGGAGGCCAGGACATTCTCTCCATGATGGGACAACTGATGAAACCCAAAAAGACTGAAATCACAGGTGAAAAGAAATCCGACAACAGCTCGGCTCAAATAACTAACTGGCTTCAATACTTTTTTGTACCTTACATCCCCGTTCTCCGTGTGTTTCAGATAAACTGCGCGCTGAGATTAACAAAGTAGTGAACCGCTACATCGACCAAGGTGTAGCGGAGCTCGTACCTGGAGTCCTTTTTGTTGACGAGGTGCACATGTTGGACATTGAATGCTTCACATACCTCCATCGAGCACTTGAGAGCACCATCGCTCCCATCGTTGTTTTCGCCTCCAACAGGGGAAACTGTTTGATTAGGTAATGGTATACAAAAATTGTGCGAATTCAACAGAACTTTTTTTATTTACGATACGGTGCAAGATTTGTAGTATTAACAATAATTTGTGGCTCACCAGGGGGACAGAAGACATCAGCTCTCCACACGGGATTCCTCTGGACTTGCTGGACAGAGTCATGATAATCCGCACCATGTTGTACAAATCCCAGGAGACGAAGCAGGTGAGTCTCAGCAGCTAAGGAGCTGCGTGTGTGTGATGTGTGCCATCTGTAACAACGTTGTGGTTTGTAGATCATCAAGATCCGTGCTCAGACTGAAGGGATCAACATTAGCGAGGATGCTCTTACGCACCTGGCAGAGATCGGCACCAAGACCACCCTCAGGTAAGAGTGTTCATTGTGTATCACGGTGTGGAGTGAAGAAATGAGCAGCTTGTGCTTTCTAAGGGAAATATAAAATAAAAATACTCGTCCCTGCCTTACTCTTAAAAGTAAACTGGCTAGCTTTATTTCTTTTTACTCTATTTTATTTTTTTACATCTGTATGTATGTGGAGGGAGGGCATAGCAAAATAATTGTATTGAACAGAGTAACCTATGAAACTGTACACATGACAATAAATATCTTGAACCTTATACTTTGTGTGAATATTATATATATATATATATATATATATATATATATATACTCTTCCTGTTTTTGTCTCAGGTATGCTGTACAGCTACTGACGCCAGCCAGCCTGCTGGGTCGCGTTCAGGGAAAAGAGAACGTGGAGAGGGAGCAGGTGGAAGAAATCAATGAGCTTTTCTACGATGCAAAGTCCTCCGCCAAAATCCTCCAAGATCAACATCTCAAGTTCATGAAATAAAACTGGATTCAGCCAGCTGTTACATCTTTCACTTTGATTCTCCATCCTTTTTCCTGTGTTTTTCCATCTTTACCCTTCACACTGTGGCTCATTCTAGTGTCCTGGACGTATCTGCGCTAGTAGTTCTGTTCTAAAAAAGTTCAATCCATTCCCTTTGATGAAATCACATTTTTTGAATAAAAAGCGACACAAAACTTGATTCATGTTTCTTTACTTTTACTGGTACTCAGTACAATTTAACAGGATGAAGACAAGACAATTTGTTAAACACATTTCAGACTTTTTTTTTTTTAAAGAATTGATTTTCCATACAATTGTTTTGAATGCAGTTTTGCTAAATCCTTATTAGTAATTATACAATTACCTGGAACTGTGGATACATTCTGCTGTTTACACAGGCAGCAATGAATGGTTGAATATTTCTCAATTTTCTTTAAAAAATGTAAAAGTGGTAAAGAAGTTGTCCGCGTTGTCCGATAATGGGCAAAGTCCACCGCTACTTCCTGTTGGCCTGAGCTGAGCGCGAGTTCAAAACAGTCTCGGCCCCGGACCTCGCTCCACTGAATACTGACGGTGCCGCTTTGCCCATTTTCTCTGTGAATAAAGGTAAACTATCAGAATTGGTGCTACAGAAATGTATAATTGCAGATATGCTCTGTATAAGTAAACACACGTTCTTCATCCCACTTGGTGAGAGACTTGAATCTCCCCTCAATACAATCACAATCCTCCTCCTCCTCCTGTACATGGAGTGGAAACTTTGAGCATGAAGAGGAAACGCCCCTCACACAAACTCAGCCATAACATGATCTTATTCAGACTGCTTCCTCTCAGTTTCATCTGGAAGACAAATGTGAAATTCTACTTGCGTGTCTTTTTTATATATATATATATATATATATGAGTGTTTCCTCACCGCACTCCTCCATTACTTCATAAGTCTTGCTCTTTGCTGGCCCACTTGCACCCAGTTGGCCTTTCGCTTCGGTCAGGTCCTCATCTCTCACCTCGGGACGCTGCATTTGCTCATGTTCTTCTTGACCTGGCTGAGGAAAAGAAACAAAGTACGACAGCACACATGTGACTTATGGCTCTGCACGGCTGCAGAAAGTCCTTTTCAAACAATGTTAAAAAGACGACAACAATGATCTTACTTGAGACATGTTTGTGCAACTGAAGCTGGCCTTGAGAAGGTCTCCTACCCGTCAGATGTCCCCGTTTTTCAGTTGTGAGTCCAGCACGACACACACGCAAATATACCCAACCGAGCAGTGATTCTCCAGTGGATGAATCTGATCCTGGGAGTAATAAATGACGCAACAAGTGCATAAGCTCCTCCTCCTTTCGGTCTGTTTATTTAATGGTCGGCTGTCCTGCCAGCTGCTTCATGAGGATGTTAGTGCTACAAGTTGTGGCACTACATTTTCCCAAATAAATCCCAGAGATCCTTAACGTTAACTAATCTATATGTGTGTGTATCCTCTACCAGGTGATAAGCAAGACAAGCAAATGGGACTCGAAGTTCAAAAGGTGTAACTCAAAATATAAATAGCTGGGTGTTTTAAAAGTTCCACAAACATCCTACCGTGCTTAGCCTGTGAAGAAATACAAAACATGTTCAGAGCAATAAAGAAAAGGGAGCAGGGAGGAGAATAAAACATTTCCATCCTTTAAAAGAATGCTGGTTCCACCCCTTTCTGCTCATTTTCCATAATGACATCATTATTCTGCCCCAGAGACCTTACATTCTGTAAGCCGAGAGGAAGGACAAACAAACATGTCGCTGAACTCAAGCCCATTTAGCTCCCCAAATGTTTACGATGATAAAAAATAAATCTGATTGCAACATGTTTGTAAACCCAAGAAGTGTGCAGCCTCTCACATGCTATATATTAATAGTAATGTTGTAGTAATAGTAAACTTGTTTAACATAAGAATTATGATTAATGAACTTCAAATGGTGATGTACTATTAAGCTTTGTTTGTGGTGCGTGAAACAAAATTCCTTACCGCTTCACCACCTTGTCAAAAACAAACATTTTACGAGATAATTAATAAAAATAGCTGGAATCTCCAGAAAAGGTGAAAGCAAACCTTAAAATGAGAGTTTGGTTTGTTTTGAACAAACACCGCAGATCTGTTTATATTTGCATCAATTTAAGCCAAAAATTCAATACATTTAACTCTTTATCAGCCACAATCACAATACATCCAAAACTGTCAGGACGTGCTTGAGTTTGCTTGTATGAGCCAACACAGGAATGATGTAGGGAAAAAACATCAGCGTCATACAGCCACACATTCACACATATGAGGTAAACTTCGTCGTTCCCTCGTTGCTTTCACGCTGTCAGTAACTGTCAGCCCCGTTTTGTGGCGAAACATGAACTTTCTTCCAAACCAGTTCCCCAATTTCCAGTTCAATTTAAGTGTGTTTCTGTCTGTATTTGGGCAGAAGCTGAGTCCTCACGAACTGAATGAGTCGAGTCTCTGTGACAAGGACGGCCACGCACACAGCGAGCAGACACAATGCTCCCACGCCGATGTGGACCAGCCTGAGTAACCAGCCGCCGTCACAGCAGAGTACAACCTGCGACCAGAGGAAAAATATATACGCCAGTCAGGACCAGTGATTAGAAGGTTCAACAGAGATTACATTGAATAATTGCTGATAAGTAGATATCAAATCTGGGTGGCGAATGAATACTGGATGTCTTTTCTTGTACCTCAGATAGCGATGTGACAACGGCGCTGACAGCGAGGGCCAGTATCAGGAGCGGCGAGGGCAACAGGCCTCGCAGAGGTTTCCATTGAGTGGAACCAAAGCAGCGGCGTATGTAAAGCACGCTGTGCGAGATGCGCAGGCCCATGTTCAGGCAGTTTGCCAATATGAAGCCCACACTGCCAGCCCACCACGTCAGCACGTAGGACAGCAACAGGAAAGACACCGACAGGGCTAACATCACAAAGTTATACCTGGGGACAAAGCACAAACAGCGTTGGCTGACAGGTTGCGTGATGTGTTACCGGCTGTGTGTATATATTTCCTCACTTGTCAACCTCTTGTTGGCTCATGGCGGCAAACACAAAGCACTCTGTTACCCCGTTGACAGCGAGTAGGAGAACATAGCAGCTGTAGCATCGCAGCAAAGTGGGCCCTTTATCCAAAAACACACACACAGAAATGTCTGAGAACAGCAAAAAGACGTCACAGATATTTGTTACAACCAGTGTGTTGTGGCTCTGTTACCTGCCCCACTGCTGAGCAAAGAGCCGCCATAGATATCCAGAGCCAAGTGAGAGTAGGCGTAGCCAAACACAGAGATGATCAGACCAACCACCAGCACCAGCTTCAGCAGACACTCCAGGACCTCCGCTGCAAGGGCAATGTCCTCCTGTGGACAAAGGCTGCAACATGAAGGGGACCGACAACTCAAATCATTTCAAAATGACTTTTTTTTTTACATCCATGCACCTGTTTCTGACTTTTTACATCACGTCCTCGCTCCAGCACTTTGGCAAAGAAGACGTAGAAGCTTTCCTCAATAGGCAGGAAGACGAAGCGAGCCACCATGGAGCCCAGATTATTGACAATATCATAAACTCCCTGGTCTCCAAAGCTGAGGACGTTCAAGAAGGTCATGACGTACCGCTCCCCCTCCGTCAGGATCTGCTTCAGGAAGGACTGCTTGAAGAAGCTCCATGTGAGCTTGGCCAGAGTCCAATCCACTAGCGGCTAGAAACAGAGCAAAAGATGAAGCTAATTGATCCCTAATCATAATACAGTCTGTCCTGTCACTTCTCAGTTTGATTTCATGAATAAAGATCAGGAATTATAAACGTAAAATATTTTCCTGCCCTATTACCTCTCCAGCAGCTCTGCAGGGCAACAGATCTCCAACACGCTGCAGGGGAAAGTCCTTCTTAGCCGCCACTTCAGAACCCAGGAAACGAATGAAATACACAGCGTAGCACAGCACCAGGAATCCTGTGTACACCAACTACGAAAAGCCCACAGCTTAGAATCATCACATCCAGAGGGAGCACTCACAGAAACAACGCAAGATGCACATCCACTGATTTCTTACATGAGCGGCAGAGAAGATGTACAGGCCCCATTCACGCGCAAACACCACCAACACCACGGTTATGCTGCACTTAGCGATCATTGCCAAGCTCTCTGCGACCACCTTGAGGCGGACAAACATGTGCGCTTGAGCCAGGACCCAGAGGGGCTCAGCCAGGAGCTCCTGCACTCCCGACAAAGCAAACATCACCACAGCCGGACCGTAGTGAGGCACAGTCTGGGGATCCGGGACCTCCAGGAGCCAGAGCCACACAGCGACCAGCAGGGCTGCCCATAACACACCCAGAGGCAACCTGGGAGGTAAGAAGCAAGGAAGCACTGGTAAAAATCCAAACGGAATATTAAACACACTTTAACCGCTTTGTAAAGTAACTCAACTCACGTCAACCACAGCAGGTTGATAACTTGTCTCCAGCTGTGGTCGGTCCCAGATACTCCACTCAAACAGGCCCTGCGGAAAGCTTCTCTGGATAAAAATACTAAAGTGGAGTATAGTAGCGTGAGTCTGTATGACAAACACAAAAACACACACACATCGTATCAGCTGGTTGAGTGAAACGTGGTTTCTATTTTTGGTTGGTGCCACAGCGTCGATCATCCTTACCTGACATTTACAACACCGATCAGCTCTCTGGAGACGAACCGCAGCGTGAACGCATTCAGCAAGAAGGTGAGGACGCGGAACATCACCTGAGATCAATGACACACAAAATCACATCTAAGGTTTTACAACCCAGACCGAATTATTATTCGATTAATGTTTCGTATTTTGTGCTGCTGCGGTGTAGTATCTCCCGTGTACCTGTAACAGCACATTATACGACGCGAGGGTTGATGCACTCCTCAGAACATCCTGGGAACTCATTTTTTACTTCCTCTTTGTTGCTAAAACTTTGTCTCTTTGTCAGCAGCGGATCAACTTTTCCGCTGCTTCATAAATCGTTATGGAGTCATACCGATGGACCCGAACGCGTGACTACCTGGGAACAATAGCGCCTAATTTCAAATGAGCTGGTGTAAGATCAACGTTACGCTTGCTGGTGGTAGTAGTTCCACTTCCGTACACATAGTACGTAAAGACGTTACGTGATGACGTCAGGGGACGCTAGAGGGCGTAAAGAACCTTGTCATCGTCTGCCGTGAATCTCCATCTTCATGCAGTGAACAAATGTGTTTTTGGTTAATGCATTTATTTTTTATCACCTGAAAATGTTACCAATTATAAGCAGCTTTGCATCACTTTAAGAACAATTTATTATTTTTATGTAAGTGTTTCCAACCCAAAGCACCAAGTTGGAAAAGCGAGGAAATAAATATCTCTACAACAGCAAAACATATAGAAGACTTGTAAGAATTAATAGCTAAAATGTATATGGAAATGCGAAAAAAAAACTTTCTTCACCTCGTAGTCACCTTGCAGCATGGATAAACCCTGATCTGACTCGCCCTTTGAGAACCTTTCATAATATGAGTCCATTTTTTAAATATTGTCACAACACTCTTGGGGGTTGATGTTCTTTTAATCAGATGTAAAAGATGGGAGACAGTAAAAAAAAGCATTTCATTCGCTAACCAAAACACATGTTACAACAATATGCATTCACATCCTATATATACAGCATTTCAGTGACTCCCCGCTGTTTCAAAGCATGTACCTTTACTCGCCCTTTTACATTGAATGCATCATCTTTCAGTTCAGTTGAGACAGAGACTGTTACAAATTGTTCTTTACATGGCACTGTGGATTAAATTGCCCCAAGATCTTCTTTGTCATGATTCATTCAATTAAATAATAACAATGTTTCAGTCAACGTTCATTATTTGTCTTTATTAAAAGATATATAGGTCTATGTTGGTTGGGGATTTCTATACATGGAGTCAACTCATTCACTCTACCTTGAAGTATCCAGTATAATTTATTCCTATAGGTTTCTTTCCCTCTTCATACTTTTTTCATCCCCAGTGGGTTGAATTCAATATAAAAAAAAGGGACACACAATGGCTGCAGATGTTAGCGGTGACGTCAAGTGGAATGTAGGTTTTTTAACCTCGTGCCCTATTATTATTATTATTATTACTCATATCGGCCTTAACAACCTAAACAAATGATAAGCATGCACACAAACACAATGACGTCAATATCTACAGTACATGGGCCCTTTTTTAATCTTACCATTTCTACACGTACCCAAGGAGAACAGTTTCTGCTTGAAATAAGGACATATAAATACTGATTGTGGAACAGCTCGCTTGTTTGTAAGTATGAGAATGTGACGGGAAAAGGAAACTGCAGCAGAGATGTAACCCGGCTCTGGATGTCATCACAACAGTTACTTTTCTAAAAGGCGCTCCATCTTAGGATTGATGAATGAAAAGCCATCGAATGCCGCCTGATCCATGGAGTCTATGAAGTTCTTATCGCTGTGGGAGAGACGAGGCTTCTCGCTAAGGAACTCCCGATCAAAGTTGCTACAGTCGTTGGGTGCTTTCTGTAATTGACAACAAACACATCTCAGCAAAATAATACAATAGAGTACAGATATAAGCAAACAAAGCAGAATTTGACTTGTACGAGTGGCTTACCACTTTGGGTTTGAAGGGGGGTTCGATCTCTCTCCTCTCCAAAGCCTGCCAGTTGATGTTGTTGAACAACGGGTGTGAACGGATGTTACCCACGATCCCCAGCCTGCGAGTTGGGTCCCTCTCGAACAACTGCAGTGAAACATTGATCCAATGTGGAAATAACTATTTCCCTGGAGCAGAAATGCTCCCTTACGACAGATGTATGTGGTGTAACAGAGTTGGTACTGACCCGCTCAAGCAGGTCCTCGGCCTCCTTGTTGATCCAGCGGGGATAGTGGGGAGTATCCATGCGAATCGACTCAAATAGCTCATCCTCGTCATCTCCATGGAAAGGCGACTGACCAATCAACATTTCGTACAGCAGCACCCCAAACGACCACCAGTCAACGGAGAATGAGTATTTCTGACCCAACAGGATCTGAGTTTAAACACAACACCATGAATAAGAATTATTCTCCACAGCTACAGTCACTTGTCCTCAGAACAAGAAGGAGTCTAATTCGCCAGAATGAAACACGTTACCTCTGGAGCGATATAGTCAGGAGTACCGCAGAAAGTTGTGGCACGATTCTCTCCGAACACGTTCTCCTTGCACATACCAAAGTCGGCTATCTTTATGTGCCCCTCATGATCCAACATCACGTTGTCTAACTTGAGATCTCTGGAAACAAAAAGGATCACAGCAGGATTGTAAATAGGCACGAGTGATTTACTTGCCTGAGACGAGTAACCCATCGAAGCACCGTTCATGTGTTAAACCATTACGAACTTTGTAAACGCTATATTTATATTCTGGTTATGCAATTGCAAGAACCTACACTATTTTTTTTTTTTTTTACTTTTTAGTGCAAGAAAAGAGAACAAATTCACAGCTACCCAAGCATCCCCTGTTCACAATTGCATTGCAACACAATGACATTGACACTTGACAAAAAAAAGTGTTAAAATGCGTGGGATTATTTAACCGAGCAGTTTCAAGCGTAAAACAAGTTCACTTTCACAAAGCTCTGGAAATTATTTTGTGTATTCGTGTTGTGGAATACAATATGTCAGCTGTGATGTAAAAAATATGGTAAAAATGGAAAATGACCGTATACATGTACTGTACACCTAGAAGCAATGCATATGTTTGCTCTGACCTGTAGATAATTCCTTTGGTGTGCAAGAACTGGAGACCACAAATGATCTCAGCGGAGTAGAACCTGCGAAGACAAACAAGGCAGACAGACATGAACTTCTCATCTCAGGCGGAAACGAACCGGTCTGCGGCGTATCCATCTCACCAGGGTCGCACAGCTGAACACTGGTGTCATTGCAGACTTATTTGAGTGTAGAGCTGAATTATTGAGGAGTACATTTGTATGGTGTAGCAGAGGTGAATACCGATCTCATAATGTGAAACCTGAGAGCCGAGGTGGCTGAAAGAACAGCCTATCGCTGCCTGTCGTCCGTGTCAGGTGGTCGAGTGGCCTCCGCTCTGAACCAATAACTCTTCTTTTAGTGTAAACCGACGAGCACTGAGGAAGCTATGCGGTTTCATTTATTAACCATTTCTCACTTAGAATACAGCTGTCAAAGAGCAAGTCAGCCAGTGCACACATACAGTACATAGCCTACAGCTCTCAAACCTTTCTACAAACAACACTACAAACCCCAAAACACAACGTAAACAGACGGCTAGATGCAGTATAAATGAATCATTTAGGCTCTTCTACTGTATGTGAGGAACATTGAGGCGTTGGACTACAGTCTCTACAGCAGGTAGAGGTCGACATTAGGAGAACAGCCTTTGTGCTGATGAAGATCAGAATCTAGATGTATCATGTTCAAACATATATAGTGAAACAAATAAAAACACACTCTGTTTTATTTTCTCACTCACTTCTACGGTAAATTATCCGTCCAGCCTGAATACAGCCACTGAGTGAGGAGGGTTGTAGTGGAGGCCAACACAAGATCAGGTGTCCGTCTGTTAAGCAGGGAATCACTCCTGTCATCTTATGACAAGGGACACAGCCTCCAGTTTAACTACAGGAACGGTGGCGGCAGAACCCGATTTAATGTTTAAAACACCCACCAGAATGCAGAAAAAGTGTGAAGAAACGATAATGGTTAATGCATTGATTTGTTTCTATCTTCACAACATAAAACTACTTTAAACAACAATGCAAACACTAAGTCAAGTCAAGTCAAGTCATTTTATTTTGTATAGCCCAGAATCGCAAATTACAAATTTGCCTCAGAGGGCTTTACAGTCTGTACACATACGACATCCTCTGCCCCGAAACCCACCATCGGCACAGGAAAAACTCCCCAAAAAATGAAAAAACCCTTACAAGAGGGAAAAAAGGGAAGAAACCTAAGGTCTGCGAGGCTTGTCTTGTTGTCTTCTAAATCTGAACCAAGATTTAAATCAAGCCAGCTTTGCTCTACTTTGAAGACACATTTGCATATTCTTACTTCTCCTTTTTTGAAGTTGTTTTTTTTGAAGAACATTTATAACACCTTATTTTTATCTGTTCATTCCTAAATTAATTTAAGAATATCTAAAATTCCTGGTCAAATGAGACAGAGCTGCCAGTGGTCAGTCACCAGGACGTCAACAACGGATTTGTGAACTACGGTTTCAGAGCTTTGAGTGAGGGTGAGGTATATAATAACCAAATACTGAAAAATACATTTATAGGTTGCCAAAACTTTCATGAACTGAAAACACTGTGAAATGGTTAAAGTCCCGAACGTTGTGGTTCGAACCTGTGAATCTCTAAAGCACCAAAGTATATATTTCTATACACTAATTTAATCTTAATAGGACCACAATTTACCAAATGGACATCGTGCTCTGTGCAAGAAGGCGTGAGAGTTTTTTCAGACCATAAACTCATGTTTCACAGTGTTTACTGAGGTAATAAATCAAGAAGTTATAAATATATAAGTTATTATAAGTCTTGTGCGTTGGCTTCACTTTTCACAGGCGGAGGTTGCCACCTAATTAAAACTAGCTGAAATCAATAGAGGTGCAACTATTTACTGGGGCAAAGAAATAGAACGTGAAAAGAGAAGAGAAGAGAATGTGCTTATATTCAACAGCACCTGCAAAGAAATGTTGCATTTTCATCTTTGCCTTTTAAAAATGTAGCTGGCGCAGGTGCCAGTAAGTTTTAGAATTAACAACATTCCCTTTTATCAGAGGGCCATTGTTTTTTTTTTTCCTGGAAGGATTCCCACACGGCAAAGAGTAGAGAGGTGGGTGGTGGTAACCGATACCTCCCCATACAAACAGTACACGAGCACCGGCCTTGTCCTTAAAAGGCCATTCGGCTGGAGAGACGCAGCTCATGGACACAGTATATCATGTAAACATAAAAACGCATAGTGACATGAGGAGAATAAACATGAGCTCATGTTTCTACACTCGAGTATTGATGGCAGGTTATGCTTGTTTTCATGCCACTGACTGTGTAAGTTGTTGCAGGTGGGACTCACGTGGTTCTGTTAAGCTCAAAACGCCCTTTCTCCTGAATATGAAACATCAGGTCTCCTCCGTTCAGATACTCCATCACAAAGAACAGATGCTCCTGTTGACAAGTGTCAGTGTTGAGGTTACAGTTCCAACTGAAGGTGTAGAGTAGAACCCCCCCCTCACTGAAACAGCAATGAGATGAAACAGAATACCTTGGTATGGAAGGTGGAGTAAAGGTGTGTGAGGAAGGGGTTTTCCCAGGCCAAAGCCAAGACCCTCTTCTCCACCATGGTGCACTCCACGTCGTCATCCATCAGCACCACATCTTTCTTCAAAGCCTTCACAGCAAAGTACTCTCCACGACCCTTCAGCTCGGCCAGGAGAACCTGGGACGCGGAGAAGACAAGAAGAAGAGAGACTTTAATTGCTTTCTGTCTTTTAAGAGCAGGAGGCTTGAAATGTCTGGTGAAGTCACACATTCTGTCTACGGTTCCTAGTTTGACATGTTGGTTCTGTACCTTCCCAAAGCTGCCTTTTCCCAAAACCTTGTGGAAGACAAAGTGGTCCACGTTGATGCGGGTCAAATGGGTGATGTGAGAAGGAGGCCGAGAGTTGGCCCCCTCCCACAGTTTGCCATAGGGAGATGCATCTAATGGACAAACAGTTGTCGATTAGCTTTTCATATTATTATTGAAATGCATGAATATTGTTCTGCACGTATCGTTATTAATACAGAGCCTGTACTGCTCACATGAGAGCATGTGGGCACGTACACACACACACAGAAACGCTCACTGACCAGCGATTTCCAGTCTGGCGATCTTGTTAACTTCATCGTAGATTCCAATATCAGGCATATCAGGCAGGTTTGGATCTGAGCGGCGGGTGGACGATTTCTTTTTGAATAGAGAAAGATGGATAAATGAAAGGCAAGGAACAGTCTCATCTCACATTTCATTTTGCTGCACCAATAATTTGGTGGCCAGTTACTGCTGCATGCACAAGTGCTTCTGTTTGTTTTGATGGGGGGGGGGCGCCAATTGTAGGTTGTGTTAATTTAATCAAACATTACAGCAGTGGTTTGTGCACTTGATGGAGATGTGCAATCTACTGAGTGCTCTTTTCCAGTTTGTTCTATTTTTTGCCTTAAGATTCAGTATCAGCTTTGGACTTCACCCAAATTAAGTGTTACCAAGCTCACGTCAGACTCGCCTCCACATACCAGAATACAAAGTGGGCCCATTATTGTAAACAGGAATGTTTGTGAAATGTGAAAAAATCTAGCAAACGATTACATGAGGAGGAAATGGCTATAGCTTGTTCTCATTAAGAGCATTTCATTATGGAAGTTCAGTTTACTTCTAAAAGAAATCTTGGTGTACTAATTGATAATGGAATGAGATATCCACTTTGTCTTGACTCTTGATGGGATGTAAGTATCGAATGAGTCGTTACTTCATAAACTCACCTGGCTGACTTGTGTGAGTGCTTCAGCTAGTAGTTTCTGGTTGATACCACAAAGGTTGGCTACTTTATCCTGACACTTGTGATGGACATTCATGGCGCAATCTGAAGACCGGAACAAAAAAATAAATCTGTTTGAGATAAAAGTACATTTCCACTCCAACAGTGATTCAGTTACATCGTCACTGTACCTTCACACTTCAGGCCTTGTTTGACGAGACCCCACAGCAGACTTCCACAGTGGTCGCAGAAGGTCGGACTCATGTAGTTGTGGGTCTTAAAACGGTGCGGCATGTCAATTTTAAAACGCTCCTTCTGGAACTGCAGTGACAAACGAGAGTCATCATCTCCATGAATGACTCGGGGCAAAGGAATTCCAATGAGCGGCCTGTGAGCACCTGCCAGCCCCCCCCCCCACCCCCCGCTTGCTTTGTTTTCTGATTCTCTCTCTGAACTTAGTGTCAGAAGTGACCAGAGCGAAGTTCATTGTTCGTTCCCACGGTTACTACTACACTGATTTACAGTGGCTCTCTGAGACCGCACCCCATGTTTGCGTCAGATTACTTCCATGCCCCCTTTATCCGGGTCAGTCGGTCTTTGACTGTCTTCATCTGTCAGTACTGATGATCGCTCACAAGAGGTTCTTATTGGATGTGGACAATGACTGAATGTATTTATGTAATGTAAACTCTGACTTCATTGTTCAAACAGTTAAGGAGAGAAACATTATAACAAAAAAGAGGGAGAAAAATGCACACTAAACTGAAATTGTGAGACATATGGAGGACACTCACAGTACATGTTGTACTGCAAAAAAAGTGATACGTACCACAGTGTCGCGACTGTTGGCAGCAGTACCAGTACATCTGCCGATAATTTTGTCTATGCATTTCTTGTGGATGGCTGCATTGCATTCTGATAAAAAAACAAGATAAAAGTAATATTTGTAGGCTTTGTTCCAGTATTTGAGCATATCTGGTAAACTGGTCACACAAATAAAACAGTGAAATACGTTTTAATACATACCACCTAAACTTGTTTGCTATGTAAAGTATTGCACAAAGCACAGGACTTTTTAAATTATTGTACACTTACGTCTGCATTTATAGCCTTGCTTGTTGAGTCCCCTGTGTGAGGCAAAGCAACACAAATAAGTCAGACTTTATTCTTCTTTGAACATGTAAATGTAAGTGGTGCTGATGAAACACTGAGAGATGGTGGTAAGCTGCCGCACACATGAGCTGATTACTGTCTCGTGGTCTTCTCTACTAACTTCCTCTACCAGCTTCAAAGCACAACTGTAGCCACAAAAATGGCAAATGTGACAAATGTCACAACTTAAAGGGTAAGTTCACCATAATAGTTGCATAAGCAATAACTCAACAAGCAACCAGTTTGTTTAACGCCGTTTGTAGGAAATTAGCCAACTCAAATAATAGGAAGTTCCCAAATACTGGCTTTAATCGGACTATATCTTTCTCCGTGTTTTAGTTTATCTCGTCTGTGGTTTATGAGTTTCCTTGAAGTTATTTTAGTTTAGTTTAGAAGTAGTAGGCTGGACTGACCAGACAAATTCTCTGCAGACGGAGCAGAAAGTCGGCTGCCTGAAAAACGTGGCAATGAACTCGTGGTTCTTTATGACGTGGATCTTGGCTTGCTTGATGGCCCCCCGTCTACGGTTCAGGTTAGGAGCCCCCTCCTCCACCTCCTTGGTAGCCTGCTTACTCTCTTTGAGATACACAGAGAAACACACTGATGAGTCATCCCACAACGCTGCAACGGAAAAACAGCGGTCATTTTGCATCAACGCAAATTAATAAATCAACAAATAAATGGTGGTCTCTGCCAATCAAAAGGAATGATTAACGTGAATGCCTGAAAATGTATTCATTTGAGCTGTCTCGCAGTTGTTGATCCAATCATAGTCAAGGAGCGCAGTACTACTTCTACTTTGTCCTGACCAGGGAAACAGCAACTCGTAAGTAGTGACGGTACTCTTCACACCGCATGCCGGCATCGCACTCATATCTGCTTCATGCCTTTGTTATCTATGGCCAACTTTCTAGCCACAGTAAACATCAGGTTTTATTGGCACCCTTGAGTGCAGCAATTGCCTTTTTAACTACATAAGTCACACTCACAGTTCAAACCTGTGGAGATATTATTTGTTTTCATTCATCTATCAGAAATTGATCATAGCTCCCAATAGAACTCGGTCCCTGCTTGTAGTACATAGGAAAGATGCAATGTTTCCATCTCATGTGCTTTACCTGTATCCACTCCTTCCAGCAAATACTGCACAGCCATCATCACTTTCCCAGAAGGATGGAGATCCACCTGAACACACAAACAAATACGACACACACAAGCCGTCACACTTCCGCTGCCTATGAGACTAAGCGGGGACGGCAGATCGCGTGTAATGTCCTACCCAGAACTCAGCGCGCCCGTTGGCCTTCTTGCAGCGCTCAGCGAGGACGGACACACCGACGGTGACCTCAGCCAGCGGCTCCTCGGCTGTCTTCATCAGCAGCACCTCTAGCACACGACCCTCATAGATGTGCGCATCGAAACTGGCCTTCCACGCCGGGTACATGGTGGGCTTGCGCTGAACCAGGGTCTTACCTCGTTCTGGAAATAGGAAGAAAAGAGGAAGGTTTAGATAAGGACTTCTTCTTTTTTACAGAAAGTACTTCTGTAAAATCTAAGAGTGGTGCAAGCTACCAGTTTCTCACCAGTTGTCAAGGCCTCCTTCATCTTGATTGCACAGAAAGGCGGGTCGACGAGTGGAGACATCACGCCTAAGTCGTAGGAGTTGAAGGCGATCCTCAAGAAAGGAGCCATGTTGCCGAGCGCCAAGGACACCTGCTTTCAGAGATGGACGAAGGCTGTGAAATGTTTCTATAACGACTTGTTAGTTACACACAGCTAGTTGATTGTCATGTGCTATTGTGGACTATTGTGTCATATTTACACACGCAGGTGCATATTTAGCAACAATACTCCGTGTTGCAAGATAAGTGTTACAGGTATCTGTTTTAACATTGGGAAACGAAACAATGTCAGAGAATATTCCTGGCATCCTATCAGACACCAAAAAGTAGATGACCGTCGAAGCAAAAGCAACATTAAACAGGGAAAAAAGAAACAGAAGGAATCCGTCTTCCAGGACAGGTAGACTCATTGATAAATGCTGTGTATTAGTAAAATTATTATTAATTATTAAAATTATTCTTGTTCTTTATTATCTAATTTTGAGACATTTCAACCCCACCAAGGAGTGACACAAAATGCCACCGTCAGTTTTTGTGTGGAGGTCTGACTTGAATCTAAAAAGCTGATTGTTTGACAAAAAAGGAGAAGTGAGGATAGAAAGATATAAGAATAATCATGATGCTTAGTTTGTATTTAATATATATATTTATAATTAAATTATTTTAATTAGATTAGACATTTTCTGTAAAATTAAATACGTTAACATTTTCACAAATGCTAGTTAAAACAGGCTGTTGTAGTCAGCATTTCTCCTCTTGTTATGGAAAAAGCAAACCACAAATTAAAAAATCACATAAAGAAGATGGCCAATACTTACATTCTTCTACATTTGCGGTGAAATATATGCTATTTTATTGGTGGGAGATCAATATCCCCCTACACGCTGCGCACTAGCTGTAGCGTGACTGATGTACTGGTTGCATAAGCTCACATGTGCTACAGATGGAACCACAACCTTCGCTGTAACACCGGTTTCAGTATGTGCAATGCCAAAGAGAGACGCCCAACAATCTCAAGTATTGGCTGGGCCGTCCGCTTGTTGTCCTGTATGCTTTGCTCACTCCTCAATAACAAAACAATGTGGTTCAACGAGGTTTTAATGTGCCGGCGCCATCATTTGAACGTCTGTCGCTTCTTCGATTCCCCGTTGCTGTGTTTTGTTGGCTGTGTGGTTTCTGAGAGGTTGCAGCTGAAACAGGGGAGGTGTTCTGTATTGAAAAACTCCGAACAGGCCTAAACATGCCGGTGACCAAAATACAAGCATGCAGCACACCACAGCATGGCTAGCTGGGTTTTCACAGGATGAACACAGCCTACTCTGAGACCACAGGTAATACACCGAAAAATCACAGAGAAGAAAAGAGTACACAGGAAGACGGAATGGTGATGAACGACTCTTCGCTCACTCACACGCTCACTGCTGCAGTTCACTGTGATGTCAGGGTGTTAGTTAATCGATAGCAACCCAACTGTGCTATATTGAGGTCGGCGGTGATTGATTACCTAGCAGATTGTTCATGTGCAGTTTCGATTTGATTCATCTGTTAAATTCAGTACTTCTGTCCACCGTCCACCGGTATGATGTAACTTCCACCTGATTTCCTAATATTCATTTGTATGTTACCTACTTCCTGATCCTGAAGCACTACAAAGAATAAACTATATTATTACGCTTATGATTTGGGATATGGAATAACAATCAAATACTAAATTGTCCCGTGCTTGCCCGCATTTGAACAACAGATCTTGCAGACATGCAGTTATATGACAGGTAGTAATGTGTGTATAACACCGTTGTAACAGCGGCAAAAGTAGTGAGTCTGCAACACAACCACTACAAAGTAGAGAGAAGAAGCTGTTTAGAACGATTTGCACACGTAAAGCTACGACCACGACCTTTGAAACGAATCAGTACGGCCTCTGATTCACTTTAAAGGATGCGGTTTATGTGTAGGTGCACTAAACGAATATGTCGCCTCACACCTGTCGAAGACAGCCGTTTGTGACCTAGTTTGATTTATGACACATATATGAAGAGAGTTATTTAGTCATTTAAAAAAAGAAGAAGAAGAAGAAGAAAAAGAAAAAGAAGACTCCCCTTTGGTTTCTGTCCGGACCTGCCCGCATTCCTCCTCACAGCGGGGTGTTGCGACAAATTATGCGACCCGTGTGATTCTGTGAGCTGGACTGTATCTCCACGTTAGCACCCCCCTCCTCCCCCCCAACGCGATGGTTCCTGTGGCTAAAAGGGACCCCGATGTCCCTGATGAAGATCGCGCTATCCGAGCACAAAGCGGTACCTGTGTGGTTGGGCTTGTCCACCCCTTTCCCTGTGGAAACGGTTAAGCCGGCCCCCCCCCCCCCCCCCCCCCCCGAGTGGACCCGTGGCGCGTGAACCAGGTCACAGATTCCATCGCGTTTATGTTTCATTAAACAAGGGGACTTTGTCCGGAACAGTTTCAATTAGAACAGATACTTTGTTGTACTTTGTTGTATTTTAAAGCGCAGACGATGTGTTTACGTTGGGAGTGTGAGTTAGAATTCGCGTTCGCGGTCACGGTTGAACGGTGTGATGAAAACTGTTAGTTCCCCCCCAACGAAAAGACGAACAGGGGGTGCGTTCCCGTTACCCCGTTCCAACTTCACACAAACTCCACACACAGAGCACCGAAACTATTTGAGAAACCTCGACTGAAAATGAAAAAGTAACATCAGCCTCACCTCGTTTCTTTATCGCGGGGGAAGCTGCTCTTTATTTTCCTCTCTCGTCTTTTCGCTGAGCGAGTCCTTCGATTGAGGAAGTGCGGCGCGCTCCCGCGGCGCGCTCGCTGAACTGTGACGTTTCCCTGCTTACACGCACACGCCCCCGCGCGCACGCGCACGCGCAAACACTCAACGGTCTGCTGCTCAGGAGTTTCAATGCACTCAGTTGCCACATTTTGAATAAATACGTTCCTGTCGCTTGTTACTTTCAGCATGTGTGTGACTGGCGCATGTTTGTCCTTCTCGCGTGTGTTTGTTTCAGTCAACGTGATTCCCACCATGATGCGTGTGATAGGCTACTTCATCCCTGCAGACCTGTCGATCACCTGATCCGAAAGAACACCTGTCAGGAAGACCTTGCTATCGGCGTATCTGACCCCCAGGTCGCTCTTGCATTGCCTTGTATGTGGTTTGTGACCTGAACTGGAATTCCATACGGCCACACTGGCTCCCATGCTGGTTCCTCTGGTTTTTCTTTCCACTCTAGCTGTTTGTGGGGCAGGGGCTGGGGTCTCGGGGGCTGTTACTGTAGGCTGTGCGGGTAGTTCTGAGGTCTGAGCTTGGTTCTTGCTGATGAGGAGGAGGTGGCTGATTTGGCTCCTGCAGTATTGTTCTGGTAAAACAAAATCCCTCCAAATGATCGATTTCCTTTATTTATCTCACTGACGCCCTCACAAACACACACGCAAATATACCCTTCTTGTACAACGGTGGATATGCCGGTCTCATCAGATGGCACCACTGAAATGTCGGCCGCCGTGAGTCATAACGAAACGTGCATGTGGGGTTTAATTAACAGGTCGGCCGTGCACAGGTGTGCCAGCGTTCCTTTTTTTACCCTTTGAGAATCTGCAAATTGTGAGTCATAGCAGACACAGGATGTAGAGTGGAAACTCAATTCTTCTGCTCCTTATCTCTGACAGATGCACATGCGGAGCTCGAGTGATCCTCTCCTTCTGTTCTTCCTCTAGCAAACACACACACCCACACACAGTGTGTGTTCCACCCGTGGGAAGTATAAGCTCGTTGATGCAGAGACTGATGGAACATGGAGCGGAGTTGATCCATATGAATGTGTGGTCTATAATACAGATTCTGTGTATATTCAACATTATATCCCACAAGACACTCCAAGGACTAAAGTCAACAGTGTTGTATTTGTGCAACTGCTCAGTCTTGCAACTTTGAGGAATTACGTAAATATTTGACTAGTCCATCCTCTTGTCACTATTAATGTCTAATAGGAGGTATTTTAATACCTCCTATTAGACATTGGCTTCTACTCTCATATTGGCTTCTACTCTCCTACACAAGTTTCAACCTTGTTAATCATTCATTTGTATATGAACAGGCGGTAAAACATAAAAGCATCCATCTATAAAAAAGGCCAATGAAGAGACATGCAGCTGGACGCATGATAAAGTGTACAAAGAGGATAGGTCATTATTGGCAAAGCCAAATCTTGATGATTCATAATTTTGAGCTACACTTATTTTGGAGTGACCAGCAGAACCAAGACTCTTGTAATCTTGTGATGTATCTCTTTGCCAACACTCATGGCTCATTGATGGACATGTTATATCTGGTGGTTAATCTAATCAATATTAAAATAAGTAAGTGTAAAATCCACAATGGTTTGTTGGAGGGGAGAAGTTTGTCGGTTTTCCAGCGACTTTTCAAAGACTTCGGGCAGATTTTCATTCCTCAGGGCAACGGATGTCCCCGTTAACACACGCTCACACTTCTTGCTCCGCGGGAACTTGCAGATGACAGAATGGTCACAGGAGAATATAGAGCAGCGTGCAGACCCCATGTACATGTAATACATGTTCAGTCTGAGGCGCGGAGGGTGCTGGAGGCTGCGTTTCTCTGTTTGTCCTGCTGAGGCAGAGAGGGCTATTTAAAGCTTCAGGGGAGGTGGAATAGGTGTAACATTGACTTGGCAGTGGAGGCTGCAAAGAGTTTGCAAAGTGGGACATACCAGTGTGTCCCTCTGTTCTTCCAGGCTTTTTTTCTCCTTGTTGTTGGAAGGTGCATAGAGACACAAGACACGGTGCAAACCCAGAAATGTCAAGCCAATGTCATGTGGACACGGCTATTTCACCATATCTGCCCCTTTTATCAGTCTTATTTTTTTTATTGAAATCTCTTACATAACAAAGTCCTTGCTTTACCCCTGACAATCTGCCTCCCACATATGAAAGATGAAGATGCATGCTGTTGTAGCTCACGACATCGACACAAACACTGCATTGCCTCTAAACTAAAACTAAAAACGGACAGAAAGTTTATTGCACACAGCATTGTGGGTAAGACAAATGCAATTTATGAGGAAGTTGGGGTTAGAAAACTATTTCAGCGTCTTTGTCATCAGCTCCTACGGACTCCTGAGGCTGAGCACACATAACAGAGCTGAATGCACCCAACCTTATTGAGTAGGCTGTGCGTGTATAATTGATTATTCGTTGCTCTCTACATTGCTCCTGCCTGCAGCCGTAAGCTTGGATTATGACACCGTCGCAGCCCCACTGTAAAAAAAACCTCACAAGAGCAAGCTTTTATCGCTTGTTTTCAATGAGTAATTAGTGTGTAGAGGATTTTTTTTAATGTGCAGTTGAACCTGGTTTTAGTCATGATGCAAACGACTTCCTGTTTCTTGCTGCTTTGCTGTGACCAGACAAACCACAAAATAGCAGTATGGTACACATGTAACATTACCATTGAAATCATGTGCATTCTACACACAGTACACAGTACCAAAAGCTACTCCACCAGAAGGAGGCAGTAAAAAGGAACAGGTGCAGGAAGTGTGAGATGATAAATATATATTGTGTCATCACCCAGTTAGCAACTGAGGAAAGTAACCAGTGCTTGATATAAAAAAGTGAAGCGACTGAGGACGGAGAAACAGAATTGGGGCTAGAGAGGGAGGTCAGAATGATAAATGATGTGTCCTCTATGTAGGACGAGGTGTCTGCAACTTTTCACAAGCCCTAGAAAGCAAACTTTCTGCCCAGTATACTGGGTCAGGAAGCCTCTCGGGGCGAGACGAGAAGCGGAGCAGTTCCCGGCCTTTCTTTGGCCGCACAGCCGACTGGTCCTCACATCACTCAGTCCCCGCTGTCTTCCTGATGAGGTCAAAATGTGATCGGAAACACTTCATCAGATCCAGGACCACGCGTCAGTGCAGACTCACATATGAGTGCCTTTTTTGTGTAGATTCTGAGCTTCACCAGCAAGGACACAGCGACAGGAAGTCCAAGCCAGCCTGTTATATTAAATATTTAAATACCTGCCCTCGAGAGAACTGGTCCCAAGGACCCAAATCGAGTAATGTTTTCAACCCAAATGTATATATTTATAGAATATCATATGCTAACAGAAAAAAAACAATATTAATGCTAAACCAAAACGACAATGCTAGAGTGGGATCAGCCGTTCTCAATTACAATATAAAAGCAAACTCTGCACAAAACAGTTTGTGGAGTCTTGATACAAAAATAACATTTGAAATTGTACTTGTTTTAGGTATTTAATTGGCAAAACAGATTTAAAAGTGTGTACATGACTTAAGTACAGTAGATAAAGATCTTGGCCTTTGTGAAGGTAGTATTTATTTTTCAGGGTCATTCCTTTTTGTATCAGTGCAAAGAAGCATAGAAATTGTTCACTGGCAGAACCATCTCCAACAATACAGTGCAGTATAAAGCTACAGACAGAACTAATAACATTTTTCTTTACTGAAGATCCGAATCCAGATTTGGTCTTGGGATTTTTAAAAATGAGTTACTAATTTTTAGCCTCCCTTTGATATAGAGTAAACAAACTGTGGGTAAAATATTTGTCCAGTTATATCTTTGTCATTTATTTGATTAATTGATACATTGAAAAATAAATTGTTGAGATTTTCTTTCTTTTCCAAAAATCCATCATGTTCCATAATGTGGAGGAATGTCGCTGACCGGCTGGTTGGGAAATTCAGGTGACATGCGTGTAATGTTCCACACTGGCAGGTATCTGGGCCGTCGCCCGTCGTGACTCTCTGCATCACACCTGCTGTAACAGCAGGTAAGGGACACTGGAGGTAATCAGGTCCCCTCTCAAAGAACAAGATGTCTTGTCTTATTCAGTCCAGCCAGACAAGTTACAACTTGCAGACACATTGAAACACATTTTTTTTGTCTTTCTCCATCGTCCCCTTTTGGTTTCAGTCTGTTGCTGAAATAATGCAGCAGAGTTGCATTTTTGGCGATCCGAACTAACTGATGCTATAAAACTGTGGCTTCCTCCATGGCATTCACCCACCTGTATGAGGACAGGATTGGACATTAGGAGAAAAACAACATAAAATTGATGAATTTCAGTCTGCCTCAGCTACACACTTACAATACTGTGCCTTTAGGCCGGACGTTTAGCAGCATCATCAAGTGAGCTAAATTTATAGGTTGCTCCTTAATTGGGAAATGATTTTAGTAAGTAAGAGGAGTAAGTTCTAATAACTTTTTTTGTTTTTGTAAACTCCACACTTCTTCTGCTGTTCAGACAAAAATATGGAAACACAACAACTGGTTTTGATAATGTTTACAGTTCAGTCAAGTCAAGGATTATATGATCATGTGTGGGGGTCAAGGAAAACTAAAACCCGTTGGGACCAAATGAGAAAAATTTAATTTAGAAAACATGACTGATTGTCTTATTTCCTCCCCAGATAGAAACGTATCAGTAACATCCCTGTGAGTCATCAGACTCAAATATTGTCAATGGCTACAAAGATGAGCTATTAAGGCGTCATGCTTCTCACCTCTGGGCTGTGTAGTTGTCCTTCGCTTTAAAGGAGTAATACAATGTGTTTTTGTGGTAAAGCTGGAAGACGTTGGCCTCCTCCTCTGTCCCCAGCTGGTCGGGTAGCTTCACTGTGAAACCCAGCAGAGGTAAACTCTCAGATGCTACTTTCTCCTGCAGAATTTATCGGGGGAACACAAATGTTCTTGGTTATAAGATACTGTGTGGTAACTTTTAGTCATGACGGCTACAGATCTCAGAAGTCTGTATAAGTGTGAGTATGTGCTGCTCAGGTTAAAGGGGACTGCATATTTCCCCTCACCTCTTGGACTCGGTAGGTGTAAAGCACCTTGTCTCTTAGGAGGAACCACAGCCTCTTCCAGTTCCTTTTGCTCGTCTTGCTGCGCTGCAGCGTGCCACTAATGGAGCCTTCCTCTGACACCGTCACCTGCACAAAATAGGGGCAGTAGGGAACTTGTGACGGATTTCACCACACGAGGATCCACAATTCAGCAATCCGCACTGTGCAGTGAACATGGGCCCTCTCGGGTTACCGGGGTGAAGGAAGCGGTGCCTTTGCGATGTCTCCAGATGTTGGGAGGATGCATGTTTTGGAACACAGCAGAGAGAGGACGACTGGAGCGGTTTGGACGAGGGCTACTCTTACCCGACACAGCAGACGCTTCTCCCCCTGCAGAAACATACAATTGCTTTCTTAACCACAGCTGAGGTACTATAACACTTGCAATCTGAGTGACGTGGCCTGTTACACATTACTGCAGCTGAGGCTTAAGCGGGTTTTCTTTCACAAATGAGAGTATAACATTTCACATTTCAGACATTTATATGACACAAACTGGAGTTTAATATCACAACCCGCATTAGCAACATATTTAAATTAGCTCTGTATATTTTTGTTTGAGCTTGTTTCATACATTTTACATGATCTATTTCACATATCTAGCTATACTATGATGCAACTGGCATGGATGAATTTGTGCACTAAGGAACTTTAGCCCATGCATTTGTTTTGTTTTACTTCCACTTTCCTTTGTTGTTCTACTTCCTTTCTTGTAGCAAGTTATTTCATTTCTAATAAATTGAGTTGTTGTGAAATCTGCCAGCTCTGTCTGATTATTTCAGTCCACTGTAAGTGGGTCATAATAATAGCAATACTAAATATGTGGGCTGATAGGTAGACTGAGTGTACTCAAAGTATTCAATCGATCATACGAATGTATTCAAGCTGTTTCTCCCCACCTCTCTTCTTAAGCTCGCTGTAACAGCGGTCACACACTTTGGCCATGCGGTCTTTCATGTATTTCAGTGGATATCGGTTCCTGGAGCAGCTCCGGCAAACAATCTGAGTGAATCAACACAAATTCATCACATACACATTTAGAAAATAACACACGCTTTAAGCACGGCCACAGCTCCCAACTACAGACACAAGTTGTTGAGTCTCTTTAAAGATAGTAATGTCTCATAGAGCAGTGTGTTATATTTGTGTGTTCCTCACTCTTCCGCAGCCATGGCAATGGTGTCTTCGAAGAGTGAGGCTGAAATCTGAGGTGCAGTTCATGCACATCATCACTTGTGAGACTGGAACAAGCGTGGGGGCTTTTTCTCCAAGGATCAGCCGCAGACGATCTCTGGCCTGAAGAAAACACGCAGGAACAGAGAAACACGCTGGTCAATGACGTCTAATAGCGACATTAATCCGGTCGGATGCGGATAAGCAGGGTTGAGGAAACATTGGTGTTGGCTCACCTCTCCTAAGCAGCTGTTGAATGCTACAGATCCCCTGGCATGTTCCGTCACAGTGCGACTCAGAGTGTAAAACCAGTCCTCTCTTTCAATGAAGGAACTGCAAACAACAGGCCACCGGAGTAAAAACATGTCTATTCTATTTTTACTAGTTAGTTTTAACCTTTTTTTGTGTGTCACCCACCTTGCAGACAAAGTGATGGAGATGTCTGTTCCTTCAATCTTCAGTGCATTTTGGACATTTTCTACTATGGGTTTACTGACCTGAAAAAACAGTAGGATCATAAATCAAAAAAGAAAAGCTTTCCATTCTGACAGTGAAGTCGCAACACATTTTTCGATTCTCTGTCAACTGCAAATAAATGAATAATTTCATTTAAAAAACACATGGATTTTCACCACGTTTTTAATTGCAAATAAACTCGGTGGTAATTTGAAGGTAAACATGGTTTCATTGGACACTTTAAGGAAGACTCTGACCGTCAAGCCAGTGAGTGGCAGAGTATTCTTCAGTCTGTATTTCCCGTCCTGCTGAGGGTAGGTGTACAGCAGCACATCATTCATCTGACAACAGACAGAGATAATGCTCACAATTCACAAAAAACTAAATACTGTTCAGAAAACATGTTGAAATGACCAAACTAAAAGGTAAAGTAATCCAAAAAGTAAGTCACACAAACGTCGTCGTTTATGAAAGTGCATGACTTCTCCAGTAGGTGACACTCTACTACAAAACTTGACTTGACACAGTTGATTGATTTACGGATGGGTAACAATTCACACCAAAGAACATGTGTGTATTTCTCTTATTTTTAATAGAGTGACGTACAGTCACTCTATGGTCCGGTCCGCACAGAACAAAACCATTAAAGTTCCCTTCCATATGAAAAATGTATTTGACACAAGAAGGTTGTTTTCACCATAGGGGGTGTGGATTTTGTCTATGTGGGGTATCTAAAAGTGTTAAACCCCTAGCTTGAATTTTTACGATCATACACGAATGAGACACTTCTGCAAATATATAACAAAGTTGTGGGAATCCAGCTAATTAATCTCTGTATCCCTTTTTCTGCTGCGCATTTGAATATTTTTTATGAGACTAGCTGCTCCTTCTTATTTGCTCCTTTTTATTATTCTTTCTCCAACAATAATAATAGTTTTTTTTATTGTTGAGCCCTGAACACAAATTTTACAAAACCACTACAGGAGGGGAAAGCAATGAGCTATAATGATGCCCTGAGGGTAATTCCCATTTAGTAATCTTTTCTCCCTTCAAGGCATTCTCCATGTTGTGATCTATACATCAGACTTTAGCGAGTATGTTCTTCTCCCTTAAACATCCCTGCTTCCCTCAGAATGATCTTAGTCAGATGAACAATGTGTCTGTATTAAAGGTGCTGCAGGCACATTCAACTAATATTTAACTGGTCATAATATTTAACAGCGGGCACACACGGATAAGCAGCTAATGTTGACCTTCCCTGAGCCGTCAGTAAAGAACTGGCTCAGGAAGTCGGCATTCAGAAACATCCTGCCAGGAAACCCTGCTCTTAATAGCTCAGTCTGGACATAGAAGCACAGCAGACAAAAAAATGCATGACTCTTCATTTCACAAAATGATGCCCCGGGTACGAACAGGGGTTACTGTACAAAAGGAAGCAAATAAAAGGATAATATAACTTATTTTGACCCCTGGTACACGTCTATTAACGTAAAAACTACAAACAGGAAGCAGGGATTACCAAAAACAGATGGCGGGGCTGTCGACTCTTCCTGCTGACCTTCATCATGGTGCCCTCCTTCACGAAGACCTGATTCAAACAGCAAACACACAGTACCAAACTGAACACTACATGTGTCAACTGATCACGACACACAGAGGGAATCTGCATAATTAATACTGTCCAGCTGGGGATTCCCAGCTGAATGATTGTTTAAAGGGCAACACAGGGTGGTGCATGGCAGACAGGGGGGGCTGGCAAGGAAACTGTTATCAGAGTCGTACCCTGCCCGGCTGCAGCAGATCCCGCAGGCCACGAACACTGTACTCTATGTTGACCAGACGCAACAAGTTTTCCTGTGACACACACACACACACAGAAAAAAGAACAAATAGAGAGGGAGAGAAAAATGAGACAACAACAAAAGAAAAATGATGAGTTCATTAGCCGTCATTTTCCTATAAACTCCAAACTGTATTCTTCTACTTTGCTATTTGACAATAAGTCTCATTGTTTTAGACATCTTTGTCAACTCAATCAGACGGGTATGTTCTCTTTCGAAAGAGACACTTTTTTAAGAAACGTCATTATGTGGTTTGCTGCTCTACTGCCCATCAAAAGAGCACAGCATCTCTTTGACCTAGTTTGACCCACAGCGGCATGATAATAAGCATAAAAAGTAATCCTCTCAGTTGAGTGTGTTAGCATGCAAACACTTGCTAACCTGCACTAAGAGCAAAGTTTGGGAGACTGGTGGTGTTATGACCCAGCGGGGCCCACAGAGGAAGAACAAAATAGATTCGGACCTCTTACTGCAATAATATTCAGATTTCAGGTTTTTCTAGTTTTTGAAAGTACCGGTAGTCACAAAAATAAGGTTAAAAAATGACCGTAGCATGTCTGTGTGTTCAGTGCTAACCCACTTAGGTTGAAAATAAGTAGGCAAATGTTTGTTTAGTTCAAGACTTCCATACATCACACTCACCCCATGTTTCAAGCTGTCATTTGTTTGATCTGCAATATCAGACACTACAGCTACAGCAGCTGTAAAAGACAAACACAGGGACTAATCAGGAGAGACACTTCCTGTTAAGACGTGAACAATGAATAATCATAAATTATTAGATGCTCCTTTGTTCTTCTTCTCCATGTACGACGTCACCAACCCTAAATCTGAAACGAGAGCCAGGATGTGCCTGGACTGGGGCGACACCTTCATTGGTGATAGGAGATAATATTGTAGCATCTGACCTTCTCCTAAATTACACATCATGATCTCCACACAGAAGACAGCTGAAATGTTTGCCTGGTGGGTCTACGCCACAAACAAGAAAATCTAAATTGGCTCTCTCGATGTCGTCTTTCCACGCCAAAAGTGAGAAAATAAATTCCCTGCACACACACACAGTCACAAACTTGGGCCAGTGAGGCTCCCCTGTGAGTGACTGCCTCTGTCCACAGAGCGCTGTTTGTTTGAAGGTACCTTGGGTGTCTTTATATTCCTTGGAATCCGGGGAGAGGTTGTTTAGGTAATCTGTAAGAGGATTTAGAGAAATAGAATGCTTTCTGAGAGTCCAAAATGTAAGCGCTGTGAGTAAAATGTATGTTTCATTCACTAAACATACTAAATCTCGTCCTTAACAGGAGACTCACCAGTGAGGAGCATGCGGTACTGAGCCACACGCACAATGACCTGCAACAGCTGGTGTTTCAGAGACACTTTTCCCCCAGCTGGACTCTGCTGCTGAGACAAATAAGAAAATACAAATTAAACATTTTCGCTGTATTCTGATTCTGTATTCTAATTGTGTATTCTGATTGTGTATTCTGTATTCTGATTGTGTATTCTGCATTCTGATTGTGTATTCGAATTGTGTATTCTGATTGTGTATTCTGAATACTGATTGTGTATTCTGTATTACTACTGCACATGAACCATTGTCCAAATCCCCATGGACCAAGGCCAAACCACACAGTCAGGTTACTCAAAACAGTCAAAAGAAAATACAAATTAAATATTTTTGCTGTATTCTGTGATACTGTATTCTGATTATTTATTCTTTATTCTGTATTCTGATTCTCTATTCTGTAATCTGATTCTGTATTCTGATTCTGTATTCTGATTCTGTATTCTGTATCGCTACTGCACATGGACCATTGTGCAAATCCCCATGGACCAAGGCCAAATCACACAGTAAGCATAGGTCAAACCACATGGTCAGGTTATTAAAAACAGTCAAAAGAAAATACAAATTAAACATTTTCACTGTATTCTGTGATTCGGAATCTCTATTCTTAATTCTGTATTCTGATTCTGTATTCTGTAAACTGATTCTGTTATCTGATTCTGTATTCTGATTCTGTATTCTGAGTCTGTGTTCTGTATTCTGATTCTGTATTCTGTATCACTACTGCACATGGACCATTGTTCAAATCCCCATGGACCAAGGCCACACCACATGGTCAGGTTATTAAAAACAGTCAAAAGAAAATACAAATTAAACATTTTCACTGTATTCTGTGATTCAGTATTCTGATTCTGTATTCTGATTGTGTATTCTGATTCTGTATTCTGTGTATTCTGTAACACTACTGCACATGGACCATTGTGCAAATCCCCATGGACCTGATTCTGTATTCTGTATTCTAATTGTGTATTCTGATTGTATATTCTGTATTCTGATTCTGTATTCTGTATTCTAATTGTGTATTCTGATTGTATATTCTGTATTCTGATTCTGTATTCTGTATCACTACTGCACATGGACCATTGTGCTAATCCCCATGGACCAAGGCCAAACCACACAGTCAGGTTAGTCAAAACAGTCAAAAGAAAATTTTCGCTGTATTCTGTGATTCTGTATTCTGATTCTATATTCTAATTCTGTATTCTGATTCTGTATTCTGTATTCTGTATTCTGATTCTGTATTCTGATTCTGTATTCTGTATCACTACTGCACATGAACCATTGTGCAAATCCCCCATGGACCAAGGCCATTAAAGGTTATTAAAAACAGTCAAAAGAAAATACAAATTAAACATTTTCACTGTATTCTGTGATTCTTTATTCTGATTCTGTATTCTGATTCTGTACACACAGTCAGGATAGGCCAAACAGTCAAAAGAATCATTCATATATCATTGGGTGTGAACAGATCTTAAGGTAAAGAAAACTTAATCTGCACTGAGATGCAAATTATACCAATGATACCGGAGCTTCGAGCAGAACAAGAGCCAACAATTGCTGGTCAGTACGGGGTCATGCAGGTGTATGGATGTCTCACACCCCCTTAATCAATATATTATTCATCAATAGTTAATCATCTTTTCCTCTGATAATAATATCCAACCTAGAGCTTTGTTTTTTTCTATTTGTTCTGCGTGTTAAATCACATTTAGGACAGAAACTAAACTGATAATGATGAAAGGCAAACAGAGAATAGAGTTTACTGCACGGACATCAATACGTGTGGTGTTTTTCTTAATACTTTTAAAAAGAGGTGTTATTGAATCTCACAGCAAAAACTGAAGCTCTGCAAAGACTGAAAAGGAGTAAATAAAATAGAGGGGAAATATTATGTTTTCCATGGCTGTGTAATATTTGATCGCTGCACGGTCAAACATACGGTTTATGATACCTATTATAAACATAATAATACAATTTAACTGCGAAGAGCACTGTGTAATTGTTGCACTAAATTATATCACTACTTTTGTTCACTTACCTTTTTGCCTATTGCTAAAACCTTTTTATGGGTTTTCATTTTTTGCTTTAAGTCACATTTGGCCTCATCAGTGACAACAATGAGTCGACCAACAGAGAGGAGGTCCAGCACCTGGCGGTGTGGTGCGCCGATAACAACCTGGCTCTCAACACCAAGAAGACCAAAGAGCTAATTGTGGACTTCAGGAAGAAAGCTGGCACACACATCCCCATCCATATCAACGGGATGGAGGTTGAGCGTGTCGCCAGCTTCAAGTTCCTGGGTGTCCACATCTCTGAGGACCTCTCTTGGACCCTTAACACCTCATCCCTGGTAAAGTAAGCACAACAGCGTCTCTTCTTCCTGAGGAGACTGAAGAAGGCCCATCTGTCTCCTCAGATTCTAGAGGGTCGTCGTGGCGCAGGGGTTAGAGAAGGTGTGCTGGGAAGCACAAGGTTGGTGGTTCGAGTCCAGGCTGCCCCATGTTCCATGTCGAAGTGTCCCTGAGCAAGACACCTAACCCCTAATTGCTCCCCGGGCAAAAAAAAAATGTGAAAAAGCCATGGGTTTAAAGTGAAATGTAAGTCGCTTTGGATAAAAGCGTCTGCTAAATGACCTGTAATGTAATGTAATGTAATGTAATGTAGAGAATTTCTATTGCTGTACCATAGAGAGCATCCTTACAAACTGCATCTCAGTATGGTATGGCAGCTGTTGCTGTTGCGGACCGTAAATCACTGCAGAGGGTGGTGAAAACTGCCCAACGCATCACCGGTTCCTCACTCCCCACCATTGAGGCTGTCCAGAACAAGAGATGTCTGCGGAGGGCACGCAGCATCGAAAAGGACACCTCTCACCCCAGCCACAGACTGTTTGCCCTCCTCCCCTCTGGGAGGCGCTACAGGGTGCTCCGTTCCCGGACCAGCAGGTTCAAGAACAGCTTCATCCCTGCGGCTTTCATTCTACTGAACTCTGCCCCCCCTGAACTCTAAACTCTGCCCCCCACCCCCACACATATCTCCCTCAGTGACTGTACTTCCCCCCCCCACCCTGGCTTGACTGCCACACCCTCCTCCAGCCACTGAACATTTGCACCAGAATTTTTTTTTTCTACCACTTATTACTGTGTTAATCGTACTTATACCTACAATACCTCTTACTGTTCATATTGCATATCCATTTCGTACTGTTCATATTGCATATGTATTTCTTACTGTACATATCAATTTATTCACTTATTACACTTTACATATGCACATACTCTGCACTTTTTGCTATTTTGCTAGTTGGATGCTAAACTGCATTTCGTTGCCTCAGTACTTGTACTCTGTGCAATGACAATAAAGTTGAATCTAATCTAATCTAAAAAAAAAGCTTTCCTTAGATGGACATGGCTATTGCCATCTCTGCTACTACAAAACACATACTTCGTCTTTGTCACTGCACCCACACACACACACACACACACACACACACACACACACACACACTACACTGCTGATAACAGATAATGTGCAGAGATTGGTAAAGCTTGATACTCTTGATAAGTATCAAACAGTTGAGGTTGAAAGCAAGGTTTCCCTGTTAGGGCTTTCTATTAAAATAGTTTTACCGCCGTAGTTTTCCTGTTGTTTAAACATTCAAGCAGTGAGAAAAAACTTTGTATCAGTTGTGCCAAAAATGCAAGTGTGCTTAGTGCTTTGTATGCATGCTGGAATTCCAAATATCAGAAAATGAGTTATTTGGAAAACTATGATTCAATAGCAAGTGAAAGTGAAAGTTAACAAGGAACCAGTAAACGTTCCATATGGTCAAGGTACACTTAATGTACAGAATTACACACCGGAGAGAGCACACCAGAGGGAATAATCAGATCTATTCATATTGTTCAAGTGTGTGCATAACTCTGGGGAGGTATGGTTATTAAAGTTCATATTCATAGTTGCATTATGTGGTGCAGTTAAGGAAGTAGTGTAGGTCTGACCTCAAACTGGTGAACAATGGCCGCAAAAGCCGGTGAAGCTCGGCAGCTGTCCTCCAGCAGGCTCATGCTTCTATCGTAGTGCCCGATATAAGTGGTGAAAACCAAGAACTGTGCTTTTCTGGAAAGGTAGATGTCTGCAATCCTCTGGCTCTCCTCCCTGATTGAAGGACCAACAGAGGAAAGAGTGTGGAAGGTAATTCATTTTCCGTTAACACGTGCGTGTTCATTGCTCTGAGCAGAGTTCTCACCAGTGTCGGAGGCGATTCTCCAGCTCGCTGAGGATTCGGCGGTGCAGAGTGTAAACATCCGGCAGCTCGTTGAGAATCTCTCGAAGCCTCTCTTCATCCAAAACGGGCTCTCCCTCCTCCCCGATTGCTGCGCCCACTGCTTCCCGAAAGTCCTGACGTACAGGCGAATGTGGAGGAAGGACTTGTTTTTGCTTGAACTCTCACTAGATTCTCGATATCACTAAAGTCTGCATTTCTCTTGTTTTTCTTTCCATTTTATTGAAATTGAGTAACAATAGAGCAGAAGCTTCCGCCTAACTGCTGTGGTGAAGATGCTCAAAGGCCGACAGATTGAACAGAACAAACAATGTTTGTGGTTTGCAGTTTTTAGGTGAGTTTTTAGGTTTTTTTTACAACAGGTAATTCATTATGAGCTCAGCCTCCCAGAAAAAATATATAGACACTTATGTGATAATTCTACTAAAATAGTTGATTAAAACTGAATGTAGATGCTGTACTTACTTCCTGGAGGAGCTTGAGGCCTTTCACATGTCTGTGTGGACAGAGATATAAAACACCATCAAACAAGGGAAGGGAAGGGCGTCTTATTCATTTTGACTGATTATGGATCTGGGGTATTGGATAAGAGGAATGGTTTACAATTACGTTTACTTACAATCGCTCTGTATCCACCAGCTCTTTCGCAATGTAATAAGCTCTTGATCTGCCGTCAGGCTGCAAACAGTCATATTAACACAGTTACATTTTATTTGTAATAAGCCCAGGGTTAGGAAGAAATTAAGCATTTTGGCACAAGTTTAATAAATCTATCTTGCTCCCTGTTCTAAACATCCAAGTGGCAATGAAATTCTAAATGATGAGGAAAGTCTTGTCGTATCCCATTAACCTCCATTAACCCGCATTAAACACTGGCTTATGCCCACGGTGCAAAACAACACATGTTTTATTCAAATATGGCGTTATTTATACAGACTACTTACAAAAAGGTGACTCAAACCCAAACTGATTAATTTGTTTTAAACTTTTCAAAATTCAGAACAGTCCTTAGCCTAGTAATAGTAAACGATATTAATAAACAATAGTAATCGATTACTTCAATTAAGGTACTATTTAATATCACGCAGGTATCTAAAATTCTCTGCACAAATACAACACACATACTTTGTCAGAACTAACCTGTCTGTCATAAATGCTGTCTGAACCTCCCTCTTCCTCTTCAGAGGTGCGTCCTTGGTCTTCTTCACACGCTGTCTCCCTTCTGAAATCCCTCGCTGAGACAGCCGGTGGAGCAACAGCCACCGAGCACACATTGTAGGCTTCTGTGTAGGCACTGGCAAGAAGTGGCAAAACATAGCATAGATACGATGAATGAATACAGTAAGTGGAGAGATAATTACAAACGTCAAGCTTTAACAAACGTGTAAAGACTAACTGCATTAAAAAAAAAAATTCAACATAATCTGTCTCAACCTTTTCAGTTTATAGATCACCTATAATGAAATATTGTGAATGTGTGACCCCTTTACCACAGAGAGCTGGATGAGAACCTAAACCTCTGATTGTAAAGGCCACTCTCATGTCTATAAAGTAAACATAAAGGCTGTTAGCTTAGCTTAGCACAAAGATGGAAACAGCAGGGAAAAGCAAGACTGGCTCTGTCTACAATCGGTACACCAGGATCAACATCTCACATTCCTACAGACAAAATATGCTTTTATCTCAAAAGTGTATGTAAAAACAAACAAATGTTCTTCTTTCTTTTTTGTTTAACCACCTCAAAGCCTCAGTTGTATTATAGTATGAACTGTGTTTTGTCCTCAAACCTTTATTCATTAGAAAAAAGCAGATTAATTTAATTTAACCATTTTTATAGTCATCTTTCTTGAATTATGACTAATAAACAATGTGAATAAGAAAATAAAGATAAAACATTACCAATCTTGAGAAGCTGATAATCTGATCCTGAAAGGCTTGCAGTGAGAACTCTACCCAACCAGGAACTAGACAGCATTTTATGCAACGAGAACGTCTTCTGCAGGGAGCACAAATGAATCTGCAGGGCTGAAGTCTGAAGTTGTGACAGTAGTGATGCAGTCGTCCTCTATATGTGACCCATTGCTTTGCCAATGTTTCTGTCATGTTTCACTACGAGCACCAGTGGATTTTAACCCCACTGAGATACAAATTAGCCTCGTATGAAGAACATATGCGAGCAGTTCAGATCTCTGTGTTACACACATTAGAGCTACATGGCCCATTAATAACACAATGGACTGCCACTGTCACGTCCTGCTATGTTTTATGAATGCTTTAGGCAAAATCTACAGAGATAAATTACAGAAGGAGATTAAAAAAAATATATATCCATTTCCCTTTTGCCCCAGGTTCACCTGTCAGCCTATTTGTCCCGGTTTTAGCAGTGATAGGGGCAAATGATCTCCAAACTACGATTTGCTAATATTGCCCCTTCAGGCTACTGCAAAACTCAACCACCGGCTCGTTGTCCATCCAGATATGTCTTTGCTGTAATAAAACTCATCGTGTTCACTGTGAGTTTAAAGTAGAAAATGACATTCATACCACAGTCTGTCACAGCAGTGGCAGCTCAGGTTCTTACCAAAAGGCCAGTTGCCTGTGAAGATGTGTACCTCTGAAAACTATGAAAAAATATAAGATCTCAATACTACCTGTAAGTATGATATTTACTCAAATTCAAAAGAACATATGTATTACACTGTATGGTAGCATCACTCAAGTAGGATTTTACGCAATATAAATATTGTATATTGACCATATCAAATAATAATGTTGTATTTATTTAAATTTGTATTGAGTATTAAAGGAAATACAAAAGATTACCTTGTAATATTAAACACAATTTTTGTCTTTCCAGTATTTTAGAGCCATCGTGGTACATAATGTCTTGCAAACGCACAGTGGTACACACGATGAAAGGGAAGCTCTTCAGTGAACAACTGCTGACTCAGATTGTATCTAAGCCTGTTGTGTCTGAATAGCGAAGAGCAATGACTCCAAAATGCTCTGACTATTAATCATCCGGAGCGGCCTGTATGATATGGGTACCGCCAACAGGAATGCATGGGGGGGGGAGGGGGGTAATGTCAGCACAGCATGACTGATCATACCAACCAATAACACTACAGCAGGGAGGAAAGAGGCTTCACCTGCAACACCAAACACATGGGCCTAAAAAAAAAAGGCACCAGCCTTTTTTCACTTTAATCTGATGGTACCACCCGTACCGCCGACACCACGTCCAGCATTTTCTTCTCCACCATCCAACATGCCCCAACAATGCACAGACACAACAGCTGAGGCTTAGTATAAATATCAGCGTATTGCAGGGAAGCTACTGCCTGTCTGCTGTCTACAGTCAAGTGTCTCAAAAGAAACTTGTGCTTAGACACAGACACAGGTTTCGGCCACAAGTGACATGGATCTATGGATGGTAATCTCAGCCGGTCGGCTCTTTGGCCCAACCTGAAATATCTTACAAGCCATTGTCAGGATTCCCTTGAAGTTCTGAACAGACGTATGACAGAGGATTTTGGTGATAACTAGGCCTTTTATCAAGACCCAAATGTGTGTACATACCTTTCTGTTTCCTGTTCAGGTGACTGTGTCGTATTCTTGAAACCAGGGAGGCTGCTCATGTCCACGTAACCGTCAGTGTCATTGGCAGAGGACACCATCCGACTGGGGCGGTCAAAGAAGTCTGCGAACGGCGCCTGGCAGACGGGCCTCCGCTGTGGCACCTGAAGATTCTCGTAGTCCGAGCTGATGGCGGGAACATTCTCGTAGTCTGAGGTATCTGCGTTGGGGAAGGAGATGGAGCGAGGCTTGGTCAGGTGAAGATGTGCGAAAGGCACACGGGAGCGTTCCTCAAAGGACTCCACCCGGATGACATTGCGGTTAAGAAAGGCCACAGAGTTCCCTGTTCTTTTGCTTTCCCTGTAAAGCAAGAAGGAGGATGCCGGCTCTGATGAAGGATGAGGTTTACTAGTAGAGCGGGAGTTGAGCTGTGGAGAGCCACTCATGCTGCGTCTCTCTAGTTCCAGAAGTCTGCTGGGCGAGTGTTGGTTGGACTCTGCCGAGGACTTAAACAAGGAGGGGTTCCCCTCCAGCTTGCTCTCTGTTTTCCTCCTAAATTTAAGCATCAGGAAACGCTTAATGGAGGATTTCTTTTTCCTGTTTTTCTCTGACGAGTCTCCTTCGATGAGAAGCGAGGGGGAACTCTTTGTGACGGGCCTCTTGGTGATGTAGGCCAGCTCAAACGGCGGAGGAATATCCACTACAGAGGTCGGAGTGGACAGGCCGCTGGATGACAGCGGGGAGCAGCGGGAGAAGCTCCCGGATGAACAAATGGCGCCGCCCTGTTTCGGGGAACTATTCCTGTAGTTGTAGACCCCGAGAGGCGTGTCCTGTCCCTCCATAGAGAGGGAGCGCGGGTACAGGGACAAATAGTGGGGCTTGCTGCTGCTCCTGTGCCGCGTTGAGCTTATCATGGGGCTGCTGCTCAGCGCGGGTTGGCCGAACCCGCTCACGTAGGTCCGCTGAACAAACTGCCCTCGTGAGATGCAGGAGAGCGTCCCTGCTGTCCTCTTGTGAGAAGGAAAAACATTTTCGCCCTCGGAGTTGTCCCCCGGGTCCTCGTAGATGTGCTTCTCACTGATATCCGGTTCTGTGTCAGTGGTGTCGTCCAGAAACGGCACTACGTGACCCTCCAGGTCTTCCTCGAAGACATCCGAGTTGCTTGGAGAAAGCAGCTGGCTTTCCGAGAGAGAAGATGTCAGCGAGGTGTCCGTGCCGGTCGGCACTGAGATGGATACTAGCCGGAATCTCGGCTGGAAGTCCACATGATCAAACAAGGCCCCCTGTGCCTGAGCTTGGAGTTCTTCAGTCATTTTTTGATATAATCCCACCTCATTTTGATCCCTGTTGTAACTGCTGTACTCCAGAGGGTTGCAAACCTCAACGTAATCCTCAGAAGACACACACTCTGTTCGTCCATTCTCCGCTGTTTTCCCATATTTCCCAGCTGATACTCCACCACTGCGTACAGATGAAAGTGGACTCTGTGCTAGTCCATGAGCTTTGTTATTCCTGGATATCATCGCTCTGTCAATAATGTCCTTTGAGGAGACGTAGTGAGGCTCGTGAGTCGGATCATTCACTACAGCAGCATGTTTCTTGCTTGTGTCACAGACCTGTTTCTGGTCTTCGGGTTTAAAGTCATCTTTACGGCTGAATTTAAACCCCAGGATGTTACAAGTGATGCCACAATCCGGAGCAGCTTCCTTGTCTTTCTCCTCTCCCTCAGAGTCCTTTGTGTTTCCATCGCTGATGAGACCAGGTTCATCTGTGAGGGACTCAGTTAAATCGTCCGCTGTACAATCTCCGGTTTCCTCCTCCTTCATGTGGAGATGTCCTTGTCTCTCCCCCATGTCTCGATGCTCACCCAAATAGCAAACGTCGATGCTGTTACTGGAGATGTCTCCCACTGAGAGGCCATCTGCGTCGGCCAGCGCCTCGCCTCCGTCACAACCTTCTGCGTCCATGTCCTCCGTCACATCAGTGTCGACCATCTCCACTGCAACCTCAGAGTCCACCGTGAGCCCGGCATCGTTGCTCCAAAGTGTTTCCAGGGAGTCCACCTCCTCTGTCAAAGTGCTGTCAGTCAACCTCCAGTCCTCATCCACTTTCTGAATCATATCTTCTTCCTCTTCCTTTTCCTCCTCCGTCCCCTCTCCGTCCTCCGACCCCGGAACATTATTTTGCGGCGATTTGAGGATGTAGAAGTTGAATCGTTTCTCTGCCGATAACCCGTCTTTGTTCACACCGTTTTCTGTCTCATGCTCCTCATCACCCTCACCATCTGAATTGAGTGAGATGCCATTGGAGCATCCTACCTGGTTACCATTAAGCTCTGGTGTGACTTTAGGTTTTGGGGCTATAAAAGGTTTGGGACCCCTGGCTGCGGACATGAGAGGGGAGGGCAGCTTCGGGCTGTTGTGACAAACAAATCTTGGCTTTGGAGCAACAGAAGGTTTGGTGCAGTCTGAAAGAACAACAGGAAAAGGAAACTGTAAGATTACAAGCTTAAAAATAGCTTAGAGGTCGTTTATATTATGTCCATTGGACCTAAAACTAAGATTCTAACTCGTAGTAAAATGTTATGTGTCTCATATTTATTTTTACACATACTACATATTTATATTATTATCATTAGGTCACAGTTTGACCACCAACATAATTTGTCAAATAATAACAAATGTGGCAAGTTATCAAAGGCAAAACCAAATGAAAACTTTACAAATGCATTCCAGAAATAGCTTACCCCCCCCAAAAATAAGTTTAAAATGTTAAATGAGTAATGTGGGATATGACTTCCTTCAATGAAGAATACAAAAAAAAATGAAGGGATTTCCCTGATTTACTTCCTGTGATTCAAGTGAGAGAAACTCCTTTCAGAGCTTTACTTCTTTAGAAAAAATCTCAGTGACAAAAGAAGGATCACGTAATAATTCAAGTATATTTGATATCTATAACCAATGCACACGATTTGATCCAATTTCAGAAAAGAACATGACTGGATGATTGGGCCATACTTTACTAAAAACAATTCACTTTTTTTGCATAAAGTGCAAGTATCTGCCCCACAATTGAAAGAAGACGCATTTTATAAGAGCGCATTGCCTCGTGACTGCAATGTTAGCTGAGTTGAACAAAATTAGCTAAATTGGTATAAATCGCGGTAAAACCGTGTTATTCAGAAAGCCACAGTGAATAATGTATCAACACTTAACGCTTCCCTTTGCTCTCACATGAAGAAAGACTGCGTTAAAGGAACCTCGCTCAACATCCTGTTAATGTATCCACCATCTACCTCTTAATGGAGCCTACAAAGTCACGAAGAAAAAAACAGACAAACTCAAATGTCCAGCTCGCTTGATACTCCTCTAAATACAAAAATATACCGAGTAGTGGAATAGATGCTTTGTTTCGAAACCCTCTTCTTTTTTTTTAAAGAATCTCACCTGTGTTCATTTTGGCGAAGCGACTGTCTCCAACATCTCGTCCACCGAAGCAGCTTCTGTCCACAAAATGTTGAATAATGTGTAAAAACGGAGCCGAACTCAGCTGAAGTGTGCAAGCGGAGACTGAGCAGCAGCTCGGTCGGATCTTCCTCTGAGGCGGAAAACGCCGCTCAGCTGTTGGTTTGCGCGTCTTGCGGCGCGCAGGGCGACTGGAAACCAAATGCGGGAAAAAAGCTCGACGCGCTCGTCGAAGACCAGGATCCTTATTGCACCACGAGGCTGGAAATGTTCAAATTAGCCTACAACTCAGGAGTGATTGGCACTCATTTTTGAAAAAAGACAAATCTTACTGCTGCAAAGGTGGTAATGTTGATTTTAACAATGGTAAAGTTTTTTAAAGAGCTATATATATATATTTCAGACAATTTCTAACGCAACTTTGCAATAACAACTTCTTATGATTAGCTGAGAACAATACATCCTCAAAACCCTGTTGTTTCTGGATATTATCAAACAGCTGTATATTTCTCAGCATTACTGGTCACATGTCGGGGAGAAACGTCAATTATGTTTCATCTTAAATCATGTCTCCCTTATTGATAAAACAGTCTGGCTTCCTTGTCTGATTGGTGCACAGGGCTCTTTTCTACATAACAGGAAACTGCTCTCCCAGTTTCCTGCACAACCCAACTTCACATCCTCCAGCTTATAGACATCATGCTCACATTTAACCCCCATTGTGAATTAAATGTGACTCACTGTGAGTGAAGCAACGGTGGCTGATATTACTCAAATGATGGAGACTTATTACATTTGAACAATATCTGTGCTGTGAGTTTCAGATTCAGTAGCAACATTTTTACATGATTGAATGTAGTAACATAAAGCGTATTACATTTTCTGTAGTCCTTGAGAAACAGAAACGGAAGCTTTCTGTTCTTAAGAGTCGTTATAACACGATGACGTGCTCTCATGCATCACATGTTGAGGTCAAACGTCAATCCTCAGCTATACAGAAGGAAATCTAGGCACATTTAATCCACAGCTACTGGCAGATGATTTGAGTGTCGCACTTCATTAAAACAGTGAGCAACCAGGAGGCTTTTTTCAGTGGTTTGCTTTTAAGACTGAAAAAACTGTTGTCACTAACATATCGTTCGACTCATTAAAAAACATAATGTGGCTGCACCTTTGGCCACCCTTTTGTCGCTGCAATAATTGTGTTTTCATATTGAGTCAATAAAGGGGAGGTTTAGGTTGCTCTCTGCAGCCTGCAGCACGGGGAATAACACAACATGTTTTGGGAGGGAGTCCTCACACAGTACAAGATATATTAAAGAAATTCCATGTAAGGACTTATTGAAAATGTGCATCTCCAAAAGTTGATCACAAATATATACTTATATACATATAAGTTCAGTAATGTCATTAAACAGCAGGTCACTGAAGATATTTTAGCAAGTTTTACCCAAACAGGAGTAGATTTATCACATTTTTAAGAACTATATTCGCTTGTGGATCAATTCAAAATTGTGTTCTGATAAGTTTGAACAGCGGCAAGACCCTGTTTGAGGTATTGACTCAAACTGAAAAACTCATGAACCATGTTCATCAAAAAACAACGATCCTCTATGGGAAGGAGGAAAAAGCCACAGGCTTACTGAAACTATACTATTATTTGTTTTTAATAAATCATTTGTGTATTAACAGTAATACAAATATAAAATAGCTTTAACCTTTAATGCTTCAAGCATTTCCTCTTAATAAATCTTTCGCAAGAACAGGTCCTAAGCGTACAATGCTCCTCATCAAATCAAAATGAAAGTATGTATAGATTAGGAGTTCAACATGATCAATAAATCATCCTTTATGTGGATATCTCTTATAAAGGGGTTGAAATGTAAGAGATCCAGGTCAGACATGTATACAGCCATGATGTATTGGATGTGTACACCAACCGTATTAAACTATGTCACTTTGTGTTTGGTAGGTAAGATTATAAAAACTGTCTCCTGTTTGCGTCAGGCGAGGAAAGAGTGCGTCTCCTCCTCTCTCCTGCTCTGAGGTGAAACAATAAGACTGGGGCTTAAAAAAGGAACTCCATCTTGATATACTCCTTCCTGTGACTGTTTTCAAGTCTTTCAGCAAAACTGCAGCACGTAGGGCGTAGTCACAAAACTTTTCCCAGTTGTTTTCAACGTGGGCCAACTTGTTGACATCATCGAAGGTTTTTGAACATAACAACACTCATTCTCAGTCTCCTTTCAATTAATTTACTTGTACTTGAAATATATCATATCTCATTTGGGTGCAGGAGAAGTTCTCTTGAGGCACAGCTTTTTTTTGGCATCATTTGGCAAAACGTCGACGACAACCGTTATGGCCTTTAAGGGGTAGGCTCGTCCTACAGCTCCCTCCTCGCCGTACTAAGCCCCTCCCACGAGACACACACTGACACACAACTTGCTACTGTCACAAAATAAAGAGGAAAACATAAAAACACAGGAAAGTATTGTTGACTTGTGTTGTCTTTGGCGTTCTGTAAACTGCATGTAAAGTGTTTGTACCAGTAGGATGCAGAAACAGACTCTTGTTCATGGATGTCTAATTTTAGTTTCCTGTCGCATCACCACAAGGAAGAAAACACAGCTGGAGGGTTGTTTTTGTTCTTCTGTGAGAACTTCTGACAAGTGAACAATGGGATACGTTCTGACAAAATAAAGCTGTAAAAATAAGATTTATGACGTGAAATTTCCCAAAAATTAAATTTTTACACACACCAATAAATCTATTATATCGTATGTTTTTCTTGCGTTAATGTGTTTGATTCCTCGCACAAATCTTAGGAAAGACAGTTATGTCACACATACTGTATATATCTTAAATCAGCAATTGGCTAAACCGCTTCATAGACCCGCCTCCTATGGGCCATTTCTCCGTTGCCCGAGTGCTGCTGAGACATGCAGACAGGCGCAGAGGACGTGCAGGAGAAGTACATTCCATATTTAAAAAACACCAACATTCACATTACGACGGGCCCTCGTGAGGGGACCAGGTCCAACGACCATCTATTGACCAGCCGCCACTGCTATTGAATATGTGGGATATTGTTTGTTTAATCCCTACAACAAAGTTGTAAGGACAAGTGTAGGACAAGTTGTAGGACAAGTTTTGAGTTTGCGAGGTTCGGGGGTCATGTGCCAGACTCATTGATCAATCTTTGATCAATTCTCTCATCTAGAACAAGTGGAAATGTCAAATGTAATGTAGAGTATTTATTTAGTCATAACATTTACACCTTCTTCCCCCCATAAATATTAAACCTACAATCAATATTTATTTTAATGTTGCTGAATGCTTAAAATATGATGTTTATTTTGGTTTGGCAAACTGCAATTTAAGTTTCATCAATAATGAAGAGAAATGCAGGCAGGACAGTGTCTGCTTTTTAGAGGCAACATGAATCTTCTACTGCAGGACACATTGAGATGCAAGTAGCACCTTAACAGCCCCTGGATCTAACAATCAATACTGGCCATGTGACACCAGAGCGTGAACGAGTGACAGTAATGCTTCCAGGAGACACAGCTTCCTCCCTTTAGAGCAGCTAATCTCCACATTTCCCCATCAAACAACCTCAGTGACCTGAGCTGATTAAAAACTCGTAGTATTACGATTGTTCCGGATGAGTGGGTCAGAATATACTCCCATAAGAACCCATGATAGTTTTATTGAGTGATTGAGATGTGCTCAGTGATTTGCCTTTGTTGGTGGAAGAAGTTGAATTTAAAATTGAGATTGAGAAAAACGAGGAAATCAACAGATATTACTGTCCTGTTTTTTCAAACATTTAACATCATATAGTGCCGACTAATAATCAATTTTATTGTCACAGACTGACTGCAAAAATAACAAAAAATTAGAAACACAAATAACTGCTTTAAGTAGATAGTGTAAAGGGACATTGTTAAATAGTTACAATTAGATAAGAAACAATCACATTTAAATTAAATGAATACAATCCTATTTTAAATTATTTGAAGTGTAAACAAATATAGAACGAAACATTCAGAGCTCTGTTGTAGAAATAATGAACCTCCATTCATAATCCCTGTGACATCACTCCCGTAACCAAGCAAATAAACAAAGAAATCCTATGATTGGTGGATGAAACGACAAAAGAACAACTGTAAAGTGAAACAAACAAAACCGTAGACAGCAAGAGACAGTAAGTCAAGACAGTTATAATTCACATGAAGCTTAACTTTGTCTTAAGATTGAACCCCCACTTTGATACACCCAAGGAGGGGCGACATCGTCAAATGATTTATATGAAATTACTTTAGGTAACGTGTCACTTTGTCCATAAAATTTCTAAAAAAAGTTTCTAAGAATTGTAAATACACGGTTAACAAAACCTCATTGTTTTTTGTCTGTGCTTAAAATAATGACTCTACTAAATGCATTGTATAAATACACTCTGAAGTGTAGTCTAAACAAGTCAAATCCTGTCTGGATACTTGCTGCATCTGTTACTCGCAGGTAAGGTGCATGCTGGGGGCTTTAAAGCAGGCCGAGTGTGCGAGTGGACTGCCAATGAGTCCACAGACCCTTTTCTTGCTTTTCACTCCCTTTCACACCAGAACAATTTATGAGGCCATTACAAGTGAGCATGCAGTGTCAACAGTGCCCCGCGAATATCTTCATCCTGCACCGCCAGGAGCCTGTCAGACTACATATGCAGCACCCAGGGGACAAACTGCCCTCGCAGCTCACAGTTGGATGGAAAAACACACGTAAACACTTAATACATCAACATGCTTCAGCATTTCAAACGTAACCTGGCTTCGTAAAGTGGCCGGCGACTAAAATAATGAATGGAGCCCAAGCTTCCACTTATTATGAAGAAATGTGTTAATGAAAGGAGGAAACTGAAACCTGCTCAGATGCACAGAGGTTTAAAACCAATGCGGTGCACCTTGTAACAGATAAATAGTATTCAGGTACATGCATCAGATATTCTCCTAATCTTCCACAACTACCTGACCCTGTCGGCCACAAACCCGTCGTTTCTCCTTTCAGAATAAAACAAAGATTGTGTTATTATTTTGGAGCTGGGACATGTTGTTTTTAACATTACTCAGGAGGGATTGCTAATGTCTAATCTAATCTAATCTAATGATGAAACACTTCAGCCAGCAGTCGTAAAAAGTAACAAAGTACATTTATTCTGTACTCCAGGTACAATTTGGTCCTGTTCTTTACTTGAGTATTTCCTTTTTATACTTCTGGAAAGGGAATAAAGTACTTTTAACTTTTTTAACTTAATTTATCTGACAGCTGAAGTCACTTTTCATCAACATTTTAGATTGAAAAATATTCATTAACCAATATTCATCAGTAATCTGGATATAATAAGCGTTGTAAGGTAAATAATAAAACAGCTACAGTCTGGTATGTTTAGAGAACTAAATTAATTTCCTGTAACGCA